ATATCGATGCCCTTGGTTCCGGTACTCTGCGTGCTCGCCGGTGCATCCACGACAGGAGTCTGCGAAAGCACTGCCGCCGATGAGTTCGGTTGTGACAGAGATGAGAACTGGGGCATGCTAACGACACTCCCAAATCCAGACTTTGGACCTGACGAAGGTACGGGATTCGTTCCGTACTTTTGTCGCAATTCCTCTTGCTGCTTCTTCCGGAACTCCTTGGCCCGCTGCATGAGTCGGTTCAAAGGACGCCAGAGCATCCCCTTCTTCTGCGTGGCCTGCTGCTCCCAATCGTTGAAAACCGAGTTCACCGCGGCCCAGGCACGATCCACGCCCGGGCACAGTGGGCGAACACAGAGTTCCGCCAGCACAAAGGCGACCGCGTGCCACTGAATATGGGTCCTGAAAAGCCAGCCCCATCGGGCCGTATTCTCATTAGTCTTAAGCAGATGGGAGAACTCGAGGATCTCGATCGATGTCAGGAGAAGCCGATTCCGGGCCTCCTGAGACAGAGCCGGTATTTTCTCATTCTTGGCCAGCGGGTGATGGACAATCAACCACAGCTTAGCCACAATGAGTCGTGCCACTGTAGCACACGCCCATTGAAGAGGGATACTCATGTCACAATGCCGGATGTATCTCTCATTCAATCGATTATTCAGTCGTTCGACCATCTTGTCACGCTCCTCCAGCGTCTGTGGTAGTGGACAGGCCGTCCCAGGAGGGGCGTATGTCAGACGTCGATACACCAGTGTGACTTCGCAACGGATGAGAGAGAAGGTCATGTCAGTGCATCCCTCCCGCTCCGGTGGCGGTGTTTTCGTGTCCGGACCGATATCATCGTCGTTGATATTCAGCGGAAGCCGCGTGTCGTACATCACATCGTTGATCATCGGATCTGTGCCATGATCCTCGGCAGCTCGCAGGTCTAGGATACAGATGTGCCACCAGGCCCGACGGCGCATCTCGGTTTCAAAAGGGCTCAGCCCAAAGTTGGTCCCGTCTCGATGCAAACCCAGTCCAGTTGCAAGGCGAAGAACAACCGCAGACAAAGTCCATACAAATCTCGTGTCATCCTGCCGGCGGATACACGTGAGAAAGAGAATAGCAGCTTGGATCAACGTCAAATTCTGAGAGTTGAGGAGATTGGCTCTCGCGAGCCCCTGCTCGGTAGCAAATCGGTAGCGACTGATCGCCGCCTCCCGCTCTTCGCCTAGTTCCGACACGCACTGTTCATGAGTCATACTGATCACTGCAGCCAAATAAACGGAAAAGGCCAGGGCTTCCGTGTTCTTATCCAGAGAGTCGGGATTCGCGGATGCGTCGACGAGTATGTTCCTAATAGTGGGTTTATGTAGCACGGTCACCAATGGTGCAACGTTATGCTCATAAGTCTTCCACAGAACAAAGAGCTGCGTAGGGGTCGGATGATAGTTGCGGAGGGTGTGAGCGACAGACCGATAGCCAAATAGAAAGGCATCGTGGCTCTGACTGCCCGAGTTGATCGAGTCTCCCGGTGACGGATAATCGTCCGTGTCCGGCGATGGGGGATCTAAGATGTCCTGTAGTTCTTCGATCTATGGTAGTCAATATATGAACAGTCCCTATATTATTCGCAAACAGGAACGTTTCCCACCTGATCTCCAACGCTTGCCCAGAACCTATTGCTCACATATTGACTCCGTCCTTCATCGATGACAAGTCTCCCAAACTCCTCGTGCATATCTTTCCGACGTTGGACCGTGTTCTGATCTGACTGGAAGATGTCGTCGCACGCCCCGGATGCCTGCAAGTTGTTATTTTCACGGACAGTAAGCGGTGGTGGTGCGGTAGAATTTGCCGACGCAAGACGGTCGATAGCAGCGGCACCTCCCAGACTCTCGACGACACCTTCCAGGCGCCTCAGTCGAGAAAGCAGCTCAGCGTCTGGTGTCCGTCTCGGTTTGCGCGGCGCTCGACCAGGCCCAGGGAAGACACACTCGATACCGGCTTTGACGCAATTCGAGCACGGGTCTCTTTTGTTGCAGCGCACCTTTCTGCGCCGACAGGTGACACAGCTGCGCGGGTTAAGCTGGGGTTGTTGTTGAGTCTGGTCGGCATGGTTTGGGCGTGATGGCTGCGGATCGGAACTCGAAGGGGAGACGCCAGCATTGTCCGACACCGACTGCGTGTTCGTCGCGGGGACTCGAGGGGATGGCGCACCGACATCAGACGAGTTATTATCAGGAGGCGTCACGGTCGCGGCCCCGTTGGGGCTCTCATTGCTGGACATGACGGAGCGGGGACAGGGTCTTCCACCTCAGGCGAAGTGGTGACCTCTCGACACTCCAGCTCTGGAAAGGAGCAGTAGGCGCGCCCATCAATCCTGGAGATGGGCTGCCTTTCTCGCAAAGGAGACACGATTGAGTGCGGAGAGGACAGAGAAACGAAGCAGGCAGCGGGAACCACCGCGAGCTGAATTTTGAGCTATGGTGGGGGCGTCCCGCGCAATCGGTCTCTTATCAGATGGGATGGACGTTGCCACTATCCTCGCTCGTTATTGAGTAAGACAATGGAACAGTCGTAGATATACAGCATCGTATGGGTCACCGTGCTCTATAGTCCGTACATGTAGATGCCAGCCTAGAAAATTATTAATATTGATCGGGTGTGGGCTGTCTCTGCATGGAGGGCCTAAAAAAGCAACTTCGCCGGGGCGTTACTACTCCGTTCCAACTAAACTTAGATTGCACCGGGTTCCAAACTTGCACCGTCCCATTTTCCCCATCAGTTACTGAAGACTGAACCGCAGTGAGATGAGAGCAAGCGTCCAATTGACAGACAACATCTCCAGCTGCCATGAGTCAAAGAGTGAAAGAAGATCGAGCAAAGACAAGAACGCGAATCGGGCCAGAACTGGCGAATTATTCAGACGCAGCTGCCTCTTTGGGCATGATCGTCATGCGGCAGAAGTCACAGGACAGATGACTAAGCCGCATCTCTTAGTTAACTAACTAGTTAACTCCGTCCACTCGAGGTCCATCGCAGCTGCAGAATGGCGGAGAAGCACAAACTGGGTGACATCGAGCGCCATGCTCTCCTTGCTGGGAAGACTTTAATGAATGGTGGAGTCTGATCGTTGAAACCATGTTAGACAACGTTTCATACAGTAAATTTTAGGCATCCAATTGTTGGAGCCACCCACCCCGGTTCATGTGACGCGGGGGCACGTGGCCTGTCATACTCCTCTTCTACAGACCCACGTGGGCAGAGGAAGTGATTATCAATCGCATCAAGGTAAACCAGAACCAGTGACAACAAAAAGCCAAAGGATGTTTTTTTTTTAGTACTGCCCGTCATGGATATGATTTCTGATATATGATAGAAAATTTGAAGATGTCTTCCCAGAGAGAATCCTCATATACACAGCCAACAAAGAGCCTTGATGAACAGTGATAGAAACTCATCACATGGCATGATGATATATATTTATATTGTTCAGGCACAAAATCCGAGAATGCTGCAAGACTCAAAGTGATCGACTGACCAACACCTCAGCCAAACAGTTCAAAAAGCGATTTCAATCAACAAAAGACAAAATAGTTGCCGTAAAATGCAGGCGAGATTATGCAAAAAAGGACATCAACAGCTCGCATGGATACGCAAATGCTTCGCCTTTCGCCTGGACTCCTTGCCATCGATATATACATGGGTATCATGCTGTATATAACATCGCCTGCGTCAAAATCGGCACGATATGGTCAAGATGTATATTACTTTGTCATGCGACGCCCAAGAGCTGTGGTCCGGATAGGACTATAATTCACATTACGGGGCGGTTGGAAAGATCGCTTCTTCTTCTTCTGTCTGCAGATAGAAGTCGGGTCAGATCTCGAAAGGCCCAAGGCAACAGGGTGGTAGGGATCATACTTAATTGGTTCCCAGAGTTTGGTTTGTTCATTCCAGGTATGGCTAATGAAAGATGTCAGCGGCATCTCGGCAAGGAACCAAGACTGGCAGAGCGTACCCTTCATAAGTTTTGAGCGTCATCGACTTCTCGCCGTATTCGGCTTGTAAAAGCTTGGTGTATTCATATGGGATCTTGACCGGGGTATTTTCGAACAGACTATCACGCAGAGGAAAGATGTCATTTTCCTGGAGATGTGAGCAGTCGTATTCATTCAGGTCGGACCTGAGACCTACGAGATAGTGGTGTCCATCTTTGCACATTAGAGCACCCATTATCCCTCGGGACCTCGCAGCGTCATCTGCACGCACTGTCGTGATGTCGATGAACAGCCCGGAAGACGTGTCGATCCAACGCGCGTCGATCACGTTGAGGTTGTCTAACGTCGTCCGTACCGTATAATGCGGATTGATCTCGAGGAGGTAGGTGCGTCCCCCGGGCACACCAGGGAGCTTGAAATGGTGCTCTGTCATGTTGTAGTACTCGGCCAGGAAATGGATCGTCGCTTCAGAGATCTGAACGTCAAGATCGGTATCCCACGGTAGGATCTAAGCAGCCTGTCAGCCGCCCCAGCCGTCATCGGGAAGGTTGCGCAACCCATTGGTCACAACCTTTTGGTTCCACCACCACCCCAACAGTGTCCCATGCATGATCCATGTTTCCGCGCCGATATCGTTCATGGTCGCCAGGTACGTTTGCATCAAAGCAGTGAGATGGGGTAAGGCCTCTTCCTCGGGAAGAACGCTCGACGCAAACCTGGCTCTCGGGTCAGTCACCGTCATCAGCCAGCAGAATTTCTTTCGCAAACGAGGCATACCGTCCATCGTAGTGAGGGTGGAATCTAGATGGTTAAAACTTGCTTTAGCAGAGATCCATGCAATGTAGCGGTCGAACCTAACTGGGGCATGAAGAAGAGAAGAGATGGAGGAAACTTACACCGACTCATCTGACCACTCATTAGCCACTTCATCAAGCAGGTAAAAAAGAGAAAGAACAGGGAAGTTGCCGACGAGAACTTACGGAAGTACTTCTCCCCTGGATCACCCCCTTACCACTGTAGTCCTTTGCCAGCTTCGTCCTGACACTCATAAAGTCTGCATCAGCGTTAGCCAGCCCGGCTGCCGCGGCCAGCAGGCCGCAGAGCCAAAATATCCGCATTGACGGGAGGTTCTCGAAGGACTGGCAACGATCAGGCAGCGTAGGTTAGTCGGCGCATGCCAAGATCACCGAAAAGCTGGCAGACGAGGGAGGTTGGAGCCCAAATCGATTAAAAGACCGGCAAGGGAGTGAAGACGGGGTGTCCGGACTTGGTCGAGAAGAGAAAGAACACGAGGAGCCGGTACAGGCAAGAGAGAAAGAAACGAGCGTCAACGGCGGCACTATTAGTATTATTTAGGGAGAGGCTCCAAGTGGGACGGATGGAGGAGCGATTAAAAAGCGATTAACTTCTTAAGACAGTTTAGCTAAATCAGTCCCCGGGTCCACCGGTCGCGTGCCTGATTACGATTTACAGCTGTCGGACATATCGAATCCTTGGAATGCCCGCTCTCTCAGCACCCTTTGGTAATAGTGGCAGAGCAAAGGACGGCCACTGGCAGAGGGAGCAAGATCATGGGCGATTTAGAGCCTTGGCTGGGCTGCTTAGCGGGCACCTTGCCAGGGGATGCGGGTCGCCAAGCATCTCGGCACTGGATTTGCCGGGACATGGGACGACTCCTCCGTATACGGACGTACCTCGTCCCAAATTATCAGGGGGAGTTTTTTGGTTTTTTTTTTCCTCTTCTGAGGGTGATTTTCTTTCAGGTTCTCGACAGCTTTATGGCGTAATGCGGAGGTTGTATGGTGTAAAGAGGTACCGTTGATGGTGCCCATGTTGTGTTGCATTGAATGCTTTGCTTCCCCGCTGATCCTGATAGATAAGATGATCAGTCCCTACATGCAATAATCCTACCGCAATAAAATTTGCGCCAATGGTCTTGTAGACATGACCCTAGTTTGCAAACGTCCCGCGTCGGTCTCTCTTCAGCAGAGACTCTCCTACAGCGCAAGTCGCCGATTAACACGAATGATGACGAGTGGCCGCGCGGCCTTCATTCAGAGCTGTCACGCGAATGGCCACGCATCCCCGCCCAAAACCAAACAGCCCTTGGGTGGCGTTTGCCTAGTGGTCGGCGTCTCTTTGTCCTCTGCAGGGCCCCATCCGCAGGACACCTGATCATCAGGAGATGGGCGGTGATTGTCGAATTCAAAGTTATCTCGGATGTCTCCGAGGCAGATCTTGCGTTGATCAACGGAGTATGATGACTGCCATGATTAGACTCCCGTCCGCTTCAGAAGCTTCCAAATGTGGATGGTTAGGTGCTTTTTTCTTGCAACTAGTAACTGCGACGCGTCATGCCAGCCACGTCGGGCGGTCTTGGCAGTCTTGGCGATGCTCGACGGTTTTTAGGGCTGCGGTAGGGCTGGCCCTGTTTGTCCGGTTTGCATTTTTATGCTATGCAAAGGCATATCTACTAATCTTGATCTTGCTGTTCTGCATTTCAAGCTCTTTATTTTTTTTCTTGCCATAGAGACATGTCTACTTCTGTTCTTGATGCTAAGTGAGATCACTCACCATTAGCATCATCATGTATACACGCATGGACAGATTCATAGTCATATGGGACCCTTCGCAGACGATATAACACGACACTCGACTCTCAGGTGACTTATAAAAAAATTAACCGTCCATCTGAAAAGGTGCCAGTACTGTGCGTACAGTTGCACAGTCGAGTGCCACAATGCCTGTGCAGGTTCAGCTGAACAAGGGAGCCCCGGGCAGTGGCCAGCCATGGGGTCCAATGACCTTCTCCATTTGCGTTGAAAGCCAACAAAAATATATTAATGTCTGATATTATATGCATGATTCGAAATTTAATTTGCCTTACAGGAGGCCTCATTCCTGCTGATTGCATGTTTCATGGACTGGTCTGGTATAAGATCCCTGAAATGTCCTAGGATTTCTTTTTTCTCTGGGACCATTTCTCAGTGCGATAACGAAAAGAGCTACCATATATTAATCTCTGTACCTACAAGATGGTTGAGGCAAAACGTGTCCAAGAGGGTGCCGTCGATACGCTCAAGGCCTTCTTCCAGGCCAACCCATCGGTCGACTTTGTCCGGTTGCAATGGGTGGACTACTCGGGAATCCTGTACTGCCGCGTCGCAACCAAGACGTTCGCTCTGGCATTAGCAGAAAGGAAGGCGACCTTGAACATGCCATGCTCCATCCTTTTGGCCCAACTGATCAACGTCGCCCTGGTGATGGACGAGCTCGACACCGGCGCGGATCAGATCTGCCCGGACTGGTCCAGTCTCAAAGTGTGTCACTACCAGCCCCGGCATGCGCAGGTCGTGTTGGGTCTACAACGGTGGCGTCCAGATCAGCAAAGAATTCCGACTGTGCCCACGATCTCGACTGCAGGAGATTATTCGCTCGGCCAAGGAGCAGCACGATATCGATTTCCTCGTGGGAACTGAGATCGAATTCTACATTGTGGACGGCGACCAGTCCGTGCAGATGGTGCCCAATCCCTCCTCCGCGGCCAGCTTGCGAAACCGATTCCTGCCCATCGTCGAAGAGATCGTGGACTGCTTGATAAATGCCGGGATTGCAGTGCATCAATTCCACAGCGAGGGCTCTCCTGGCCTGTTTGAGATTTCCCTCGAGCCACTGCCGCCCGTCGAAGCCGTCGACGCGGTGGTGTACGGCCAGGAGACGATCAAGACCGTTTGTGCCAACCACGGCCTGCGCGGCACCATGTTCCCCAAACCCTTCGAGAAGCTGTTCACCGCTGGATTGCATTACCACCTCTCCATCTCTCGGGTGGATAAGCAAGAATCTTTCCTGGCGGGTCTGCTAGGCAGTTGGGCTTCGTTGGCAGCCTTCTGCATGCCAAACTACGACAGCTACACCCGGGTCACACGCGGACAGGACGTCTTTTGGGGCTACGAGAATCGAACGGCCATGATCAGGAAGGTCAGTGACGGGCACTGGGAACTACGGGCACCGGATGGCACGTCGAATCCTCATTTAACACTGGCGGCGATATTGGCAGCCGGGCTCAAGGACGTGGAGGAAGGGAAGCCATTAACCGTGCAAGACCCGAAAGGATACGTGTTTGAACCCCTCACCCAGGAACAGAGAACCGAGTTGGGAATCACAGACGCGATGCCACAGAGCTTGGAAGCGGCGCTGGAGGCATTGCGCGCAGACAAGACATTGCCCGATGCGTTGGGGGCGGAGATTGTCGAGAAATACCTGAAAATCAAAACGATGGAGGAGCAAGCTTTCCGTGAGATGACGCTCCAGAAGAGAAAGAGCGTCTCCATGAACTTTTTCTGAAGGGATAGATAGCTCCTCATGGTCATCCATTCTTTCAGATGATTTATCGACGTGCATTCGACGGCTGTGTATGCCTTGGCTTTGCGGGGTTACGCTCTTTCCTTCCTCTAATCTTTGCCATATACTGTCAATTTCACCATTTACCCTTGTAGCTCAGAGTCTGTGCTCGCTTATCGACTTGATATAATCATATGCCGCGTACGCCAAGTCAGGCAGTGTTAGCTTGTCACACATGCATGTATCCGGCTGTGCAGCTTCACCATAGGGTGAATGATGATGCTGCATGCATTGCTTCCCACCGTTAGGCAGCAACAAGGGTTGTAGTTACAGCCGCATGGGGTAAGATGAGGCTCTTTCCCCTCAGGTATCTGTATTAATCAGGCTTTCCTATGTGTATCGCGACCGAGGGGATTTGCTTCTTCAAAATAATTTACCAGAAAGAAAAGTGATTTCAACGATCAAGACCAAAGAAAATAAAAACAAGAAAGAAAAGTCTCATCGTTAACCTCCATTCATACTGTTAAGTGACAATGCCGCAAGTCGTCGAAAGTCGCTACATCGACATCGACAAGCTGATGGCGCTCTTGGCAAGGCTTTTTCCAGGGCAGACCGTGCCAGTGGAAGTAAGTTCGCCTTTCATTCCTCCTTGCCAGTCTTTCACTGCGTACGACAGAGTCTCCGCCTCAATCTGGCCCAGAGACGCAGCAGTCAGGTCATCAGGGTCTAACTAACTGAGCGACAGGCCAGACGTGGGAAATGGTTCATCTCAGCGCCCATTCCTCTCACTCAGGTTCGTGTTTGCCAAACTGTTGTTATCCGTCCGGTTTTTTTTTTGTCCTTCTGAGGGCCAGCGGCTTTGACGAGGCTGTTCAAGTCCTAGCGCTAGCTGATTAAATGTTGGTCATGATGCAGGAGCAACTCGAGTCCTGTGCGTCATAAGGGAGGGTTGCCGAATGATTCAGCTCTCGACAGGGATATGATCATATGCACCATGCAGGGCGACGTGGCAGATTTAGGGCTTTTTTTGTTTTCAGCTCGGACTTAAGCAATCTTCGCCGATTTATATATATATATATCTCATGTCCCTCTATCGTGCATCTGTGATTTCATTATTACATTGAACTGTTCATTTTCAATTTTTTTTATTGCTCTGGACCTGCTGTCTCTGGCGCCATATTTTTATTAAAAATGTCAATGGAAGCTGCATCGAGTTATAGCGCAGAGCCTGACCAAATCATCGAGGGAAAATACGTAGATCCAGCCATGTTGATGAGCCTTCTGAGAGACGTATACGGGACCTCAGAAGAGGGGAGCAATAATTTCCGGGTCGAGGTATGAGAGAGCACAACTTTCACACTTGTGTTTTTTTTTCCTTGCTTGGCAAATTAATGAAAGCAGCTCAGGAGGAACCGTTATAATATTTACCGAGCCACGAATCTAATCCACGCCCCAGTGCTCACAGAGGTAAGCAATCATGACAGGAAATGAAACATTACAGCCGGGAACAAAATCCTAAGGCCTGCTAGGCACAGATCAGCGACTGTCGAAGATGTCGGAGATCCCGGTAGCTGTCTAGAGGTAGCGGTTCAACAGTGGGAAAGAACTGCAAATAGAAACGAGAAGGGAAGGAATTGAGCAGTAACCAGGCTGACATTATCGTCTGCTTGAGACGATGTCCTGTACTGTATTCTTACTAGTCCTCGTCAATAATAGTCTTCATTTGTTCCATTAATCCTTGTATGACGATTCATTCAGCCTTGGAGCGGGGTCACGGATCGCCCAAGACAGCCTCGCAGCATGGCAGACTCAGCCTCTTCACCCCTGTCAATGGCCCTCCACCACCTTCCAGGTTGTACAGAAAGCTGCAGGCGTCGTTTTTCGAGAAGCCGGTGCCATGATGTCTCGTGTTACGCCCGGGTGTCGACAGTAGTTCATTCTTGGTGTATCGCCATGGAAGGCCCTGACCGGTAACGCCGTCCCTGTGCACTTTCCAAAATTGGCAGATCCCTGTCTCGTTAAATACGATGCAAGGAATACGCACGCAATTGTCTCGTCGCTAGTCATCTCTCGTCACTCCCATAGAACAGTCACAGATTCGCTCATTATGGCTTCCCATTTCGCTGTGGATGAATTGGCTCTCCTGAGGGAGAAGATTGACCAAAGAGCTCCCCGTCTTTTTCAAACAACCAAGGCCGGATCTCAATTGGAGGTGGTGCGCCTCTCGCAGCCAGAGACTCCAGATGGAGAAAAAGAATCAAATCAGAATCAGCAGGTCGATGATCGATCTCAAATCGAGGCATTGAGAAGGGTAAGCTCTGAACCCTTACAATCGTCACTGATCACAAGCTCACACCTTTGAAATGAATACTAATGCTACCTCCACACATAGGAAGCAAACAACTGTTCCCAGCTCTTTATCATCCGCCAGAAGCGTTCTTGGACCAACTTGGATATCTTCCGCGACTTGTTCGAAGATTTCATAGGCATCTACGACATCTTCCCGCAACTCTGGAAATGCTTGTTCGCCTTCGGAAAGAAGCTCCGGGAAAATGAATTCGAATTCCCCGGGTTCATCACTCGCTGCACCTACCCCGTCGACACGGATGGCAGTGAAATTTGCGGTTGGTCACCGATCACCTCTCTAATTCCCAATTGACATCGAGCAATCTCCATTGTCTCAGATATTGATTGAGCAGCAGAATCAGCGTACGTTGTTCGTCGTGTGGAACTCCACGGGCGCAGGTGTATCGACGGGCAGTCGCCATGGTCAATCCGCCAAACAGCGGTCTACTACCGATTCAATTGCAGTACAAACAAGTTTCAGACCCAGAATAACGTCTCTGGAAATTTTAGTCAAACGTTGAGAGACACCTTTCTTCTTATCGCTCCTTCGCCTATGTTTGAGGGGCAGCTCTCTTGTTCTCTGAAGCGAAACTTCTCGAACAAAACAGAGCTGTCTCCATGGTATATCCATTGGCTGCTTCTTGCAGACAGCTCGAGAGGCTGGGGTGACTATATGGCTTGGTTGGAGGAACAACTGAGAGAGCAGGTCCGGTCTCCTCGTTTGCTCGGGCTTTCCGGAGAGGGTGCGGAAGAAATATCTTACTGACATGACATTGTTGCATAGTCCGAACCGATCCTTTTTGCTAGGGTTGGTGTCGAGAAAGACAGTCGCTCCCATTTAGACGATTTTCAGGTCAGTTTCGTCGATCGACAAAAGCTCAAACAACTCGAGGACTACATCACCGATTTACAAGTAATCCTCGACACTATGGTCCATACAGCAACAGGAATCCGTACACAGTGTCTGAAGTGGTGCTCGAGAAATTGCACCGGACGTGAAAGATGTTGCTGTGAATCATTTCTCGAGGAGTTCAACCGCTTTGTCAACGAAGCTCAGATGCATCTTTCACGCGCGCAAGTATTACATGAGAAAGTACAGTCTACTGCAAAACTGGTAAATTTCATACCTTCTTTTCTCTGCCGTACCACACCTTGTTTGGTAAATCCTAATATACATGTATTTCTACAGTTGTCCAACTTGTTAGACTACGAGGAGGCAAACGCATTAAAAGGCCTGGCGCGAGCATCACATGAAGAGGGTAGATTGATGTCGGTATTAACGGTGAGCAGGCGTTCGCTACCAGAGAAAGCAAAAGCACATCTAACCCGAGTCTTACAGCTTCAAGGCACAAGAGACGCTGCAGCAGTCAAGATCTTGACTATTATCAGTCTCATCTATCTCCCTACCACCATTGTCGCCGTAAGTACATTACATGGGTGGCAAATTCAGACCTTGTTTCACTGACCTGCACTAGAATTTCTTCTCAACCGTCTTTGTGCATACTAACAACCAGGGTGATATCCAAGTGTCTGCCCAAGTCTGGATTATGGCGGCAGCCTCAATCCCCTTGACAAGTCTAACAATTGCCTTGTGGTGGGCCTGGGTGCATTTTGCCCCACCCCTGCAGGCAAACTCGCGTCAATCCACTCTTAAAAACGCCTATGGCATGCTGCGGTCGTTGTTTTCTCGCGGTCGAAGCACCCAAAGGGATCTAGAAAGCGGCATGGCTTGCCCGCAGTTTGGGGACAAGCAGTTCACTCGCTCCCCCACCAGCGTCAGCACTTGGTCTACCACTGCAACAGCCTTCAGAGAGAAATAATCTTCGTTCTGCCATACTATTCTCCTATCTAGATGACCGTCTTAGCTCTATAGATATATACGAAGTATCATTACTCTTTTGTCCCAGTCTATATATCCTTCCTTAATTGCATTCTAGTTCCCACTCAAGCAAGTCGACCTAAACCGCAATCGCGAGGGGTTCGAGGGCAATGTCCCACGGGTTCGCTGCACTGTTGCAGCGGTTCCCTGTCTAGCCTGGCTGAGCCCCAGCCAGTCCGCTAGATTATGCGGGTTTCACCTGTCTCGCAGAGCGCCTTGACATTGACCGGCCTTCTCTATCGAGACCCGCAAGACTGAGGAACCAGGGCGTATGAGCGGTGTAGGTCAGCCTCTCCAGGCTATACGAGGGTTCAGAAGGCTTAATTTGTCAGCAAGTTGCATGGGCGTATTCCCCGCGGGTTCAGCCTCGCCGTCGATCTTCCTAGGCTAACTAAAGTTCTCAGCTCTCAGAAAACCGAACTTGCGCCCCCAAGACCCTGGATACTATGGAATGCGCCCGGGCAAGCCTGTTCAGGGTAGCCTGAGGCTTCGCTGGGAGGGGGGCTGAGTCTGAGTGCACAACCTTGGGCAGAAAGTGGCTTGAGGCTGTACTGTACAAGGTCAGTTCCAGGCACGGCTGGTGGCAGATGTATATTTATACGATGGAGCAATCCAATCTTTGTCGAGAAAGCATCGAATTTCTTGCGTGACCTTGCCCATCTGTTCAAGATGAATCTGTTCAGGTGCTTGGTAGAGGCTATTGCTTCTGCGTTTCGTCCTCCCCATCAGACAAAACGAGGCTCAGCCCATGTGGAAACACTCCAGCCATCCTCGACCAGTCAAACACAACCCGTTCCTGGCTTCAGTTCAATCGCCCAAATTGTCAGAGAGCCAAACGGCAGTCTTGTCGAGTCTTCCGCAGTGACCTTACCCAAGCCTAGACGAGCACAGACGCTTCCTCAAATAAAGGTTTCCACGACACAGGACTTTGGTGCCTCAATGGGAGGAGCTCCGTCCTCTGCCTCCTCGAATGGCCTGTCACCATCACATTCGCTGTCCTCGAAAGGGAACTCAGAGACCACTCTGTCCCTCAGTCATGATGGAACGACATTGCACACAGGGCTAAGTCGTTCCAGCAGCAAGAGCTCGACCTTTCGTATGTCGCACAAGTTGAAGGAGAAATTACGTTGCGCGCGGGTGGAGTGCGACAGCTTCAAATTCTATATCCCGAGACAGGACCTAGAAGACTTAATCACGGAGGCAACCGTCACAAGGATCCTTGAAGATCAAGGATATGATACTCAAACTGCGGCATCAAACGCCAGCATAACCTGTGCCTGTGCAAAATCGCTCTTCGCCACTCTCGTGTACCTGGACAAAGGGAGAGAAATCCCGAAGTTCCTCAAGGAAGGTATCTCTGACGCCGACCATCTCCCATTCATACGACCATCCCAAGATACATCATTCCCACTGCAGACGAAAACCGGGTTACCGATCAAAACCTTGGGGTCATGGACGCCTGATAAGCGGGAAGAATTCTACCGCACTCAGTGGTGGATGACAGCGCCGGTCTTTGAATATCTCGAGCATTATGTCCTCGACGACAACGATGTGTTGCCCTTTGTTCCTCTAACCCCCGACGAAGAAGAAAAGTATCGACGCGATCGAGGGGGATACGGTCAGGTATATCCCGCACGGATTCATCCCGCACACCACAATTTACCGATGCCCGTCAATAGCGAGGTACGTCATGAAGTCCCGCTTTGTTCAAACCAAGTCAAGGTCGAGGACTGAAAATGAGATTGCAGGGCGGGCCCCTCGTGGCCATCAAAAAACTGTCCTCCTCAGACGAGAAGCAATTCAAACAGGAAGCGGACATCTTGAAACACGTGGGACGTAGCAATGATCTCCACCTCATCAAGCTTCTCGCTACATTTAAGCAAGGAGAACACTATCACCTGGTCTTCCCTTTTGCCGATTCAAACCTCCAGACCTACTGGGACGACCGAGAACTGCCGGAGTTTAACAAAGAGACCGTCCTCTGGTCGCTCGAACAGATGGCGGGCATGGCGAGTGGGCTCGCGCGGATTCACACCTTCGAGGTGACCATCCCGCTCTCTGTTGAGGGGAATGTCCGTGTGCAGCAGGATGCCAGATTGCAGGTGAAGGACAAAGAAAAGCGATATGGACGTCACGGAGACATCAAGCCAGAGAATATCATGTGGTTCCAGCAAATGACGGGCGTGGAAGATGCCAACGGAGTTCTACAGATTGCAGACCTAGGATTGGGACGTTTCCATGGTCGAGAGTCGAGATCCGTAAGCGACCCGAAGGGCATTGCGACCTCCCCGACGTACGAACCACCTGAATGCAAGGTCCGCAGACCGGTTTCTCGCGCATACGATCTCTGGAGCCTCGGCTGTGTGTATCTAGAATTCGTCACATGGCTTCTCCTCGGGTCCAAGGGTATTCAGTCGTTTGCCAATAATCGGGGCAAGCACAACCCGCAGACCGGCATCAGCGAGGACAACTTCTTTAAGATCCTTGGCCCTGATGAGGCGGAGGTCGCAGAAGGTGTTGTGACATGGGTGGAAAAGCTGCACAGTCATGAACGGTGTTCCCAGGTAATCCACGACTTGCTGGACGTGATCATGAAAGACTTGATCGTCATCGATTCAGAGAACCGCATCCCATCAACCCTGTTGTCCCAGGAAGTGAAGTCGTTGTTGGACAAAGCTAGGAAAGACGAGCAGTACTTGTTGAAAGGCGTGCCACGACCTCAGACTGGAGCGCCGTCTGATCTGCGCCCTCAGTCGACCACATCCTCGCCGTCTGGTCGAAACGTCCGATTTGCTGAGGAAACGGCCGTGCAATCGGACTAACCCCGCGTCAGGTCAAAGGCGTTACCTGGTGTGATTCACGATGTTCATCTGTTGCTGCACATTGTGTTATATTATCAGGTTGGGATGCATGTGTTTACAGCATTGGGTTCGTTCTGTCCGAGGGATGGGCCTGTATATATAGATAGAACTGGGCGGTAGGATCGCTATACTACCAAGTGATTGATGTTACGTCTCGACGACTGTCTTTGCCAATAAGCTTAACGGACACGCGTGGATTGGCAACGTGGGAAAACGTGCGGAAAAATAAAGTTTGCCTGCGTCTGATACTCAGATCCTTCGAGCGCAAAACGGGGCCCGAAACGGCCTGTCACAGCGCGCGATCAATCGCCACCTCCAGCCTCACAGCGCGAAAAAGGGTTGTAGCTGGGGCGACTGTTGCCGATCGAGGGAGCCGAGCAGGATCAGGGCTGTGATCAGCCACGGGTTGGACGGAAGTCAAGCCGTGGATACCGAATCGCACTAGAATTTGCACGGCAAAAAAAAACCTTAAGCGAGTCAAGCACTGCCAAGAGGTGATAAGGGCTAAGAATAGCAGGCAAATCAGCAAATCAGCAAATCACTCAGCGCAGAGCCAGCAGCAAAAAGGGCCGGACTTGCACGATCGCAATGGGGTTTGAGGGGAATCATCGCTGCCACGTGATTTCGGCCAGCGTCCGCCTTCGCGGGGGCCGCTGGGACTTGGGAGCTTTCTCTGCTGCTTCCTGCCTGCGACGGCGATGCCAAAGCAGCCAGCCCTGCCATGGCCCGTGTCTTGGCCCATTCCATCCCCCGCGACTGGTGTCCTTGTTTGACAGATCTCATCTCCCATCTCCTTTTGGCCCCGGTGCGTGCATTAGCCGCGTCATGGCGGCCTGCCTGAGATCTCCCTAAGGACCCCCATCACATGAGCGTGCGTTGTTCTATGATAATGTCTCTCCTTCTGGTCCTCTGATCCTGCGCGATAGAATTGCTTTGTTTTCCTGGATGCTGCGACCATTTCCCTATATGATACGGCCGCAATTAGTCGTCTGACCCCTTCTGCAAGTTGCCTGGGAACCGTGCTTCGAAGGTGACGGAGAAGCGCAGGGGATGTCGACTCAACCGGGTCCAGCCACTGGTGGTCATGGCCCAGGAGAGCAGGCTCCTCAGCAGGCTCCTCAGCAGGCGTCGCAACAGCCTCCCCAGCAGCCTCCCCAGCAGGCTCCTACCCAGCAGCTGAACCGCTCCTGTGAATCCTGCAGAGCGCTCAAGGTGCGCTGCTTGCCGAACCCCGATGTCCCCAATCAATGCCAGAGATGTACCAAGGCGAAGAGAGCGTGCATCTTCGTCGCGCCGCAGAGGCGCCGGCCGCGCAAGCGGACCGATTCTCGCGTCGCCCAGTTGGAGAGAGAGATGGCCGCCATGCGCACCATGCTGAGAGACCGCCGATGGCCTCGGGAAGAAACCATCAATGAAGACTCTGATACGGGCAAGGAGGAGGCGGACGAGATCGACTTTGCGACAGACCCGTCCGAAAAACAACACAACACGTTTCCGAATATCACCTTCAATGGCAACCGATCGAATCCAGTCCACCAGCTCAACCAATCTCCAACGTCCAGATCGGGCTATGCGCCATCGGGCAACGACGGCTCTGTTCTGAGTACTCCGTCTCTCACGCAGAATGCCAGTTCTCCCGATTGGCAAGATGGAGGAGGCGATGTCATCGATCGTGGAATCATCTCCATGGAGACAGCCAACGAGCTCGTATCCATCTTCATCAACGACCTCGTCGACTTTTTTCCTCTTGTTGTACTGCCCGCCAACACGACCGCGTCGCAGCTGCGGCAGTCGAAACCGGTGCTTTTCCTATCCGTTATAGCGGCCGCCGCCATCGCAGTCGACTCGAGCCTCGCCACCACTCTGAACCGGGAATTGGTCAGTCTCTACGCCCAACGGTTCTTCCTCAAGTGTGAGAAATCGTTAGAGCTGGTCCAAGCACTTCTCCTGATGCATGTGTTCTACCTCCCGCCCGATAACCCCGCTCAGCTTCAATTATACCAGTATAGCCATATTGCCGCAACGATGGCGTTGGAAATTGGCATCGCGTCCAAGCGCCGCGTGTCTCGAAAGCCGCAAGGCGACAGGAAGGCGCGACGTCAGCCCGAGAGATTCGATGAACACATGGCCGAGCAGGCGCGGGCCATTCTGGGCTGCTATCACCTGACGTCGACGTCAGTCCTGCCCGGCCCTGCAAGAGAGTATTTGTTCTGACAGGAACTGCTTTGCTGACTGCGGACAGGGTTGCGATGAGAACACGACGGCATAATATTCTCATGTACAACGATTGGTTGAAAGAATGCGTGAGACTCCTGAGTCGTTCTCCCCTCGAAGTGGACCGGTGGTTTGCCACGTGGTTTGATCTGCAGAGGATCACCGATGAGACCTTGGCATCTTTCGGGCTCGACGACACGAGTTCCACGGCGCCTCTGACCGAAGCTCGAGTCCATACGGTTCTCCGATTGTTCGACAAGCGGATGGAAGAGTGGAAAGAGGACGTCAGTTCGGATATGCTCACCGGTGAGAGGCTCCTGGTTCTAGACCGTTTGGAAATGGTGATGGGCTCACACGATATCAAGTTCCCATGATTCTCCATTATCACTACACCATCCTTTTCGTTTACGAGCTCGCGGTTGGCGAAGGTTATCGTGACCCCGAAGCGATCAAGCGCCAATACTACACGCTGCCTGCTCCGGATGACGACAGCAATCGCAAACAGCCGCCGGAGCCGCTGAGTGCGGTTCGAGTCGACATTACTCTGAAATGGTTGAACGCAGCGCACGGGTTGCTGGATGCCTTTCTGAGCTGCGATATCCCTACCATTCGAAAAATGCCCAATCTGTTATACTCCCGAGTGATCTTGGGCATAATGGTGCTCCTGAAGATCTTCTTTTCAGTCAAATGTGGTGCATTGGGCGAGGTGATTGGGCCGCAGACGGTGAATGTCGACATGTATCTTGAAACGATGACGCAGCGGCTCACCGAGGCCAGCGGAGGATCGAAATTTGCCATTCCAGCTCGATGGCTGCGAGTCGTCGGCGGCAAAGCGCGGGAGTGGTACAATCGATTCCTGACGCATCAGGCCCAGAAAGAGGCGCAGCAGCAGGCGCAGCAGCAAGCGCAGCAGCAAGCGCAGCAGAATGCCAGTAAAGCAATCAACACTCCCATCACCCTGCCGTCGTCGTCAGTGCCTACTACAACGTGGCACGGTCCGCCGCATAGGGTGACAGCACCCACCACGGACCTGTCCGGCGGGGTACCAGCACCGGTACCACGGACGGACGATTTCAATTTACCGTCAGGAGGAGGACAGGCGCCTCTGTTCGACGCGAGCGGCGGTGCCGGTGGCTTCAACACGTCAGACACCGCGACTGCTGCGCCGTGGTTACCACCTGCATCTGACCAGGGGGTATATTCTATGGGTCAAGCAGGGTATCTGCCCGGGACGACGACGTGGTCACAGCAGCAGCCACTATCCTTCCCGAACCCACCTCCTTCATTTCCAGTGGACCTGGGCCAGGACCTGGGACAGAGCAGTGATCTGTATTCTTCGGTGGAGATGCCGATGGAAATGGAGTGGGACTGGGTGCCGGAGGGAGGGATGTTCCAGCTGCCCAGTTTTTAGCCACGATGGAATGTATGTATAGTACATATATACCTATATACATACCTATCTATAATACGAATGGTACGAAAGGTAGTGAGTTCTTCCGTGTAGATATCTGGGGTATGAGGTAAATACTGTACAGTACATACTATTTTATCTCAAGCTTGTTTATACTGTGAAGTGTAATCCATTATAATTATAGCAGCTATTCCACAGCTTATAATATAATAACTGGTGTATCCTTGCTAATTCGATGTAGATAGAAGCCGTAGATAGCACGTGTGATATGACAATGAATACTGTCATCAGGCTTGTCAAGATTGAAAATTATAAAGTGTGAATGAATACCTCTGCACACCGCTCAACAACCCAGCCAACAAAACAAACAGGATTAACCTGCCTACCTACTGCATAACCCGAGCATCGCTTTCCTTCCCATCTAATAAATCCGTCCGTCAAGTCTCATATTCTCTTTACTGGGCCAATAGTCGTTGATCCACATATATACCCTTGGTACAATTACCACCTGTAGTCTTCTCTTCTTCTTCTTCTTCTTCTTCAGCCATGGTCGAGCATTTTTCCGACTCTACAGAGCCTAGCTTACGAGGTGCGCGTTATGCATTAGTAACTGTCTAAATGCTAATGGTGTTTTTTTAATCTAGCGATGGATGACCGGATCATAAACCTCTTCCTGTCTGAAAAGTCCATGGACGATGATAATGATGATGATGATAATGATCATGATGATCATGATGATCAGAGTGATCGACGTGAGACCAGAGAATTCTCAATGAGATTATGATACTCAACCCAATAAATAATCTGTATCTGTAACCCCGTACCTATCTATCTAGCTTTTGTTGTTAGCAATGACGTCGATGAGCTGGGAATGATCATTTCATCCGTCAACGGGAGAAGAAGTAAGCCGGGAGAGACCCGGGCAGAGTGGTACTATCTATCTTCCACGCATCTGGGGAAGAAACAAGAGATAACCCCTCAACATCCAGCCCCAGAGCAACGGGTAAACTGAGACCGCAGTGCTATCATATTTTCTAGACAGGAACACTGTGAAAATATGCCAAATTTTTTTTTTCTTTTCAATAAAAACGGCATATTCGGGACAACCAGGGAAGACGGTTTCGTCTGATCTCCAGAGTGGTCATGAAGCATGACAGGCACAACTAGAGTGCCCATGGACAAATCATTGCCTTATTATTATGTAGCCAGTCGATGACGATCAAAATGCCAGCTGCCCACCGTGCCATCTTCAAGGAACATCCAGTCGCGGATGGTATAGCGGAAATCCTCATAGAACCGGTTGTAAACCTTCGCAGACCAAAACCTTCGGCCTAGAGGAAAGGTCTTTGTCCCACCCAGATCGACCAGAAGGCCATTTCGAAAGTTTCTAGCAGCGACATCGCCCGGGATAAGCAAGGCGTCTTTGGCGATCTCTATTCTCTCCAGGATACGGGTTACATGTTCAGGACGGACAGGTTGCGCCTCGTAGTCCTTGATGATGGCCCAGAGCGTGCATTCCCATTCCAGCAAGGGCCCCCTCGCACTCTTCACCTTCAGGACGTGGAATTGCTCGTCTGTCAGTTTCATCCACCCGTGGCAGCGGACTGCCCACGTGCCGTTCTGGCCAACGTCACAGAGACGCGCGAATCCTCGAGCTTCGTCCGCGAGCGGGGAATTCATGCATTGTTCCAGCTCTGTTGCGGGGATGGATGGAAGCCATTGCCATTTTCGGAACTGTGGTCATTCGTTCAGTCATTGACAAGATATACACATATATGCAGGAATAAAAGAAGAGAGAAGAGGGTGGGGGAGAGACAGGACATACAAGCTTCATGCAGAACCGATGCCCTTCCACAGACACAAGAAAAATGATTCCCTCCTGGCCTTCGTCAGAGATCGTGTCCAGATAATGTATCTCCTTATCGTAATGGGGAAAATGGCGCACTCGGGGATGACGACGTCTGGGGTCGGAGTTGTCATCATCATCGGGATCTGCTTGGCTTCTACTTCTACTCTTTTCATTGATCCAATTCAAGACTACTAATGCGGTTTCATCTTCTTTTAAGCTTTTTTTTTTCGGACAGAAGGATATGTTGATTGGATTGGACTGGACTGGATTGGATTGAAGTTGGGGTTGTTTGTTGTTCGGGTCAGATGATGTATGTCCTCGATGAATATTCCTTCGTTTGTTCGTTATCTATGACTTTGGCTGTGCTGGAAGATATATATGTATCTACATAAGGTTTCAAATAAATTGATTTATCTATCTATCTATCTATCTTCTGCTGCTGCTGCCGCTGTGAGCAGTAGATCTGTTGAGCTCATAATGACGATCTCTGTTAACTATGTACTGTACTATACATACCTAGGTGGCAACTCGGAATAGGAGAGTGTTCAGACACATCGGAAAGAAATCCGCCCTCCGCGGAACCAAATTCCAGAGACCCGTTCAGAAAAGGGAAGTATGGCGAGAAGGGTCTCTCCTAGTCTAGTGGCAACTGCACGAAGACTGCTTTTTTGGGGCGTGGCCACTGGCCAGCCACTCGGCGGTATCAAACCCGAACGAACGATCTACCCCGGACAGCTAGCTGTCTGGGGTCTGGGGGTGTGATGCGGGGAAGACGGGCCTATCAACGGACCAGAAGCCCTAACTACCTGATCGTCCAGCTTCCCCACCCATTATCAACTCCAGCCCATCATGAAGGCCCAACAGGCCAACACCTTTCGTCATGCTCTGATTTGAAGAACCTACCTAGGTACGGAGTACGTTACTTCCTTGTCGTGGTCTCTGTTCTGGATTTATGGCCGTGATTGGTATGTCGTTTGTGGCCACGCGTCAGGGCTTACTCCAATCATTCCCCGCATCTTATCCGTTATCATCAGCCCTTCCCAGGGCGAACGTCGGATAATGCACCCATGTGCTGGGATGCCCTCGATATACCTTCTGTGCGGGGCTCTAACCCCTCATCGGATCGTAGAGCTGCTGGGTGCGGACAAATGGATGATACATGTGTGTACAGTACATACATTACCTAGGACCTAGGTATTCTGTTTGATTCAATAGTTATGCATTCTCGATAGGATATAAATCATTCGCAATTGCTTCTTGCAAAGCGTAATCATAGCTTCTACCAAATCAACAAAATTATGAATCGTCAGTTCTCTACCTGATCGTCTTGTTCCTCTCGTATTTCAAAGCTGGTCAGTTGAAAGAATCCTCAAGATGGCTCTGACCAATGGAGCTTCCCTTGCTCAAACGAACGGACACAATGCTGCCTCCAGTACCACCCCCGAATACGACTGCCTGATCGTTGGAGCCGGATTCGGGGGCATCTACCTCCTCATCCACCTGCGCAAACAAGGCTACCGATGCAAGATCTACGAAGCCGGCACCGACCTGGGTGGCACCTGGCACTGGAACTGTTACCCGGGCGCCCGCGTGGACTCCGAGATCCCCATCTACGAGTTCTCCATGCCTGAGGCATGGAAAGATTGGACCTGGACGGAGAAGTACCCCCATTGGCGGGAGATCAGGCAATATTTCCAGCATATCGATAAGGTGTACGACGTCAAGAAGGATGTTGAATTCAGGAAAAGGGTCGTCGGGGCGCAGTTCGATACTGCTCAGCAAAAATGGAATATCAGGACCGAAGATGGACAGACGACAAAGTCCAAGTTCTTCCTGGTCTGCGCTGGCTTTGCTGCAAAGCGCTACATCCCTGATTTCCCCGGTCTCGACACATTCAAGGGCGAAGTCCATCACTCGTCCTTCTGGCCAGAGCAGGACGTCGATGTCCGGGGCAAGCGTGCTGCTGTCATTGGCACCGGGTCGACCGGCGTTCAGATCGTCCAGGAATGGGCCAAGGAGGCGGCGACGCTTACCGTCTTCCAGAGGACCCCAAATCTGGCCCTACCGATGCGGCAAGCGAAAGTCACTGCGGAAGAACAGAATGCGCGCAAGTCAACATACCCCGAATTCTTCGCCAACCGGTTAAAGACCTTTGCGGGGTTCCGTTACGATTTTGTGCCTAAGAAGACCTTCGACGATAGCCCTGAAGAACGTGAGGCCTTCTATGAACAGCTCTGGGAACACGGAGGGTTCGAGTTCTGGCTCGCGAATTACAGCGACATCCTTTTCGACCTGAAAGCCAACCGGGAGGCCTACAACTTCTGGGCCAAAAAGACTCGTGCGAGAATCCACGACCCCCGAAAGAGGGACATTCTCGCGCCGCTGGAGCCAATCCACCCCTTTGGCACGAAGCGTCCCTCCTTGGAACAGGACTACTATGAGATGTTCAACAAGCCCAACGTAGACGTGGTGGATGTGAGAAAGAACAAGATCGTGGAGGTCAAGCCGGATGGCATCGTCACCAGCGACGGTTCATTCTATCCCGTTGATGTCATTGCCTTGGCGACTGGCTTCGACTCGGTGACAGGTAGCATGGCGAACATGGGTCTTCGAAGCACCAGCGGCCAGCTACTGTCCGATGAATGGAAAGACGGAGCCAACACCTACCTGGGCCTCGCGAAGAGCGGATATCCAAACATGTTCTTCCTGTACGGCACTCATGGGCCCACTGCATTCTCGAATGGGCCGTCTTCGATCGAGCTCCAGGCCCAATGGATTATCGATGCCGTCAACAAGATTGTCACCAGCGGTCTGGAGTCTGTGGAGCCGACGCCCCAGGCGGAGAAGGCCTGGAAAGAAAAAGTCAACCAACTCTCGGATCGGACGCTTTTCCCACTGGCAGACTCCTGGTACATGGGCGCCAATATTCCGGGCAAGAAACGCGAGCAATTGAATTTCGCCGGAGGACTTCCGATGTATGAAAAGGAATGCAGAGAGGCACTGGAGAATTGGAACGGATTTGTCACGGTATGAGATCTCCTCCCTTGGTTCTTGGAAGCGACTGAAATGCCTAACTAGATACTGCAAAGCGGAGTGCTCAGACGGCGAGGCTATGACTGATCGACTGATAATTGGTCGAGATTAAATACTTCATGGGTGCTTTTGGATGTACCTGCGCAATGGGTTTTAGTCCTAGGTAGTCAACGGAGTGGGTATTCTTATCCTTGTTATAGCTATAGCTACATGTAGATAGCCATCTATAACCTCCCTTTGGTTTTGGATACTTGTCGAAACTCTGTTTCTTTGCAAGAGAAAGCAATGAAGGAAGGATGGATGGAAAAGCTGGAGACATTGTTCGCGTTGAACTGTAGGACTGTACCCGCGTACACTGAGACAGGCCATACGTATGCGGCAGCGGGATAGTGTATGGTACGGTAATACTGGGATTCATCATCTGCCATCGTCAGCTGCGGAGCTCACATCCGGAACACCCCTCTGATGCTGGGATCCTCATATGCATGTTATCTCTGACCAAAGACTCACATGTTGTTGGAATTCATGATTTTCCGTGTTGGGTGTTCCGAACCCCTTTTCTCGCATGGTTGACCACGGCTCCTGGCTTGGCCGGGCGGCTTTCCGCTTTCAGGCAGGATATCATCGTCATTTGCTGCGCCCGCGAATTTCCCACGACAAATGCTGGTGAGCGCTCGATGTGAGCTGACGCTGGAGAGTCTTCGAGGACACTTCCCAGCCACTTTCCGCTGCGGAAGAATTGGCGCAGTCTCCATACGCTGACAGATTGAGTTGAGCTTTTAAGAGTTCGCGATTGGGACCCCGTGCACGCATCGACGACGCTCTATGTGGTCCCGCTTTCTGGGGATCGTCCGCCTGCCCACGAACACCGTCTCCTCCTTCCCCTCCCAAACGTGTACGTGACAGACCTGCGTCGAGAAGTTACAGAGTCGCGATTGACAGTCTTCTGGAAATTGGAGAGGATACACAGAAGAAGAAGGAGGATTCTTGCCGTCCATCTCGTGCGGATGGGTCGTCCAAGGAGAAAACAGCAACTGACGGCTGACGCGCGAAAGATTGTGTAAAAGAGAAGGAATCGGGCAACCGCAGCCGTCTTCATCCTCCTCAGCTATTTATAATGACTTCCACGTCGAAGACCGCCGCCGCTGATACTACGTCCGAGCCTCTACCTTCGGCCACGGCCGTTCAACAATCAGGTTCAGAGTCAAAGGAATCAGGGAGCCATGAGGATGTGAGCAGCAATGCCGCTACAGCTGGCAGTACAGATGCAGGCAATACTTCAAAGTATGAAGAGAAGAAACGTCCCGAAAACGTGGCGGTCGCAAATACTAGTCCGGGCGCTGGTACAGGACCACAGGTAGAATTAGACGAGTTTGGGCTTCCGATAAGGACAAATAAGGGACGTTCGCGGCCGAGCAGCGGCTCTACAGACAGTTCTGAGGTGTTCCACGAAGCTCCAGAGACAACTACCGTGGACGAACAGCCAGAGTCAGGCGAGAACAATAGACGACCTGAACGGGAGGAAGAACATGCGGCGTCGCACAAAGGTCAGGAGGAGAGACGTGCATCTTCTCAGCGGAACGAGGATGGAACTACACAATCAAATGTCGGGGTTAGGGAGGTGACTGGAGAGCATGCTACCGGCACGGCTGAAGTCAAGACACAGAAATCATCAAGTGACGACTCCACAAACACCAAAGACAAGGAAGGAGAGCAGTCAGTAGACTCAGGCGCGCGATCAAAGGAGGAAGATGAGCAGGACACCCAAGAGACGAGGCGCTCTTCCAAACACGGCGCAACAGGAATGTCTGAATGGTCTCACCAGAGACTTACGCAACAACAAGATTCAGATGAAGAAACAGAAAGCGAGGGCGAATGGAAACCTATGCCCGCCCTTGGTGAGATGGATTATTATGATGACTATGGGAGATTGGTTGCTCGCGGATCGAAGGAGGAAGATGATGATGCTGTGTACTCTGGTTTAGGAGGTTCTGGGAAAGGATATACTCGGATCCAGCTCGACGAGGATGCTCAATCTGCGACAAGTATGGATGAGGACACAAGCTATCTTTTCAAAGAAGCCCACAGCAACTCGGTTGGTGTAGACGATGATACTCGAGATCCTACTAGTCAGCTGCAAGCTACGAAAGATCTGCTTACTGAGGGTCAGAGGATTGCTTATGTCGGGGTCGTTAGGTTGGCTATCTACGAAATGACCAAAGAGCTGGAGGATATTCAGCCTACCAAGGCCTCCAAGAAGGCCCTGCAAGATGCCGTGGACTCGATGAAAAAGTGGGGTCAGGCGGTCATGGTCCGACTCTTCAATCATATGGATATTGACTCGGCAGAGCAAGTCATGATCGAGCAGCTCGCCGAGCATGGAGTTCATCCGGCAGATCTTGTTCGGCCGCTTATGCAGAATGCTCGAGTCAAGAACCCAATGGCAGAAGAGAAAAGTGTGAAGTCACGGAGTTCAATCGGATCGCCAAGCCTGAAAGGAGCCTCCAGATATAGTTTGTCTCCTACAGAAAGTTCCTCGCGACCTTCCTCCCCTCCTCCTTACGAAGAACAAAAATCCCCACCACCTTACAAGGAGGGGAAGAATGGAGATGAGGATGTTCCAGAGGTGCAGACCCCTTCTCAAATGCCAAAGTCCGAAAAGATAGATATAGATCTTCGATGGACGGTCCTCTGCGACCTCTTCCTGGTGCTTATTGCAGATTCTTCTTACGACGCTCGGTCACGCACTCTGTTGGAGCGAGTCGGTCAAGCGATGGATGTGTCTTGGGTGCAGATCTGCCGCTTTGAGAAGCGAGTCATCGATGCTCTCGAGATGGAACAAGAGGCGGACAAGGAGAAATGGGACGAGGCAGACCACATGGAACAGCGCCGGAAAATGGCGTTGAAGAAGAAGATCATGATTATGGGCCTGGCCACCGTAGGCGGCGGTCTTGTCATTGGTCTCTCGGCCGGTTTGTTGGCGCCAGTCATCGGCGCTGGTCTGGCCGCCGGTTTCACAACAATCGGGGTTTCAGGGACCGGCGCCTTTCTAGGGGGAGCTGGTGGTACAGCTTTGATTGCCTCCGGTGCCACGATCGGTGGAGGCATCACCGGCTTGAGGGCGTCCAATAGGCGAACTGGTGCCGTCAAGACGTTTGAGTACCGTCCGCTGCACAATAACAAAAGGGTTAACCTGATTGTTACCGTTTCTGGTTGGATGAATGGCAAGATTGATGATGTACGATTGCCTTACAGCACTATAGATCCCATAATGGGGGATCTCTATTCGGTGTTCTGGGAGCCGGAGATGCTGCAAAGTATGGGATCTACTATCAACATCCTAGCAACAGAGGTGAGTCCTTCCTGAACTGGATGCTTAGTTCCAAATCCTAATGTGCTCCTTCAGGCCTTGACCCAGGGTCTGCAGCAAGTCCTCGGAAGCACCGTTCTCACAGCGCTCATGGGAGCGCTACAACTCCCAATCGTCCTCTCGAAGCTCGCCTATTTGATTGACAACCCCTGGAATGTCTCGCTGGTGCGCGCAAATGCGGCTGGGCTGATTCTTGCCGACTCTATCATGGATCGTAACCTTGGGAAAAGGCCAATCACCCTGCTGGGGTTTTCTCTTGGTTCGAGAGTCATCTTTTCCTGCCTGAAAGAGCTCGCCAAGAAAGGCGCCTATGGGCTTGTGCAAAACGTCTACCTTTTCGGATCACCAATTGTGGCAAATAAAGACGATTATCTCAAGGCACGGAGTGTCGTCTCCGGGCGTTTCGTGAACGGTTACGCCTCCAACGACTGGATTCTGGGCTATCTTTTCCGCGCTACAAGTGGTGGCATCATGCGCGTCGCCGGTCTGGCTCCTGTCGAGGGCATCCCGGGACTTGAGAATATCGATGTAACAAATCTAGTCAGCGGTCACATGAACTATCGTCAGGCGATTCCTCGGCTCCTGCGAGAAGTGGGCTGGCAAGTCTTAAGTGATGAATTCGCGGAGATCGAGGACCCCGATCCGGATAATCATGCCGAGCGGCAACGTGAACTGATTCGGGAAATTGACGAAGCCCGCAAGGAGGCGGAGCAAAAGCCGGACAAGAAACGATTTGGCCTGTTCAGACGATCCAAGTTGGCGCAGAAGAAAGGCTGGGAAACCTACGATGTCGAGCAAATGGAGCGATCCACCCACCGCAATTCCAAAGACAGTTCTGCCGATAGTGACAATGTCCTGTTTGATATTGATGCTATCAGAGCGGAACTAGCAAGTGAACAGATCCAGGTTAAGCAACTAGAGTCTACACTGCCTCCGATGAAACTGGATCTGAACGCATCGACTGCTACGCCGGCGAGCGATACCCGTCCAGACCCGGAGCAGTCAAGGAGTGCCGACGATGCACCTAATCCTTCAGGCGCCGAACCGTCTCACGATATCGACGCCCCATTGCCGGGTGAGGAAAACATCCAGATGACTTTCGACACCGCTTACCATATATCACCAAAAGATCATTATGATGATGACGTATCTTCTCCCCCTGACAGACCGACATTTTATTCCTCTGCGACCGCGCCTACTGGTATTGGCGCTGAGTCGGAGGCCCTGGAGCACAACGCTTGGGCGGATCATGATGTAGGACATGGCGAAGAAGGCGAAATTCAGTTGACCTTTGAGTGATGACGGGACTATATATGCGACTTTTGTCTATGTGGGTGGGATACACCGAAATACATGGGCATTGTTCTTGTATGCTGTGAATTGATGTGCGATGAGGATACCTTGATAATACCCCAGACGGTGCTTTTTTTTTACCTAGCCGTTTACGAGTGAAATGCCGCGTTCTATATATAGGTATATATTTGATTTTGCTTGCTTTCCTTGCCACCTTGGACTTGGTTGTTCGGATAGTCCATGTATTATTATTGTTTGTCTTTTTAAACGGCATGAGTATCGAGAAAATGAAGTTTTGGCTATTACATATGAAAGTGTTCCGCATTTTAGGCACTGCACCTGTCTGCAGTATGTTGGTTAGAGTTGATTTTGAAATTTAGATACTAAAGTGATAATAAGGATGGAAATTGACCTCATATGGTTCAATCCGTACAATTTTAGCTGTTCAAAATCATGATTGCGGTTGGTAAATTTTGATATTTTACTTGAAAAGGCGAAAATGAATTTGTTTTGACCCTGTACCTGACACTTCTAAGAATCAATTGGCGCTGGAAGTTCAGATTCGCTGTTGGAGCTGCTTGGTTGCCCGTTGTGGTATAACAGTGATGATAGTGCGGAGAAAGCTCCGCCGCGTGTCACGCGCAGACGCGTTGCACACTTAGTATTATCTCCGACCACGCCAGCACAGAGCTCCATCGGCCTTCACCACACAGGTTGTACAGTACAATTCTACCAAGTACTGATCATACCTGCCTGATGGAGTGATCTTCAAATACTGCAGGTACCAGGGTTAATGTGAGAGGTTTCCCAATTGAACGCGTTCTGGTTGTTTGATTAGTCTTTGTTCTTCGAGTCAATCGATGCCTTGAACGCCTTCCCGACGAATGAACATACTTTGAGATCTCAGACACTCAGCAGACCGTCCGTTGTGGTCGCATTTGATTATTTGCGTACCGGTCGACAGAAACACAGCCCGACATGGTTCTAAGACCAAAGCCTGATGCCAGCTATGCCTCGGTGCGACTTACAAAAAAGAACTACACTGGCCAGCCGCTATTAAGCCAGGTCGGAGGCAGGAAAATCCGCGAGGACAGCAGGTATGGAAAGAGCGACAGCCAGCAAAGCATGAAAAAGAAAGAGCGCCCGGAACCTGCGACGGACGACGAGCCCCTCAGCTCCAGCGACGATGAGAGTAGCGATAGTCAAGCGTCCTTGGGAAGCGGGAAAGAGAATGGCAATAGCAACACAGACAGTACAAAAGGCAATGACGGAAGGAGCGGCGGGGAACTGCAGGGAATCAGGAGGTCTGCAAGGCAGAAACCTGCTGCCCGCCAGCAGCAACAGGAACAACAGAAGTCGTCTCCCAAGCGGTCCTTCAGTCAGACGCTGGACCAAGACGAAGATGAACCGTTTCCAGAATTCATGACGTCGTCACAGGCATCGAAGAGGCGCAGAAATGTTAGCTACGGAGGCTACAAGAACATCCACGCCTCTTCATCGTTCCGAGTTCCCAGCTCCAGCATAGAGAATGCGGTGTCGTCGCAGAAATCGTCGCCTGGTTTCAAGACCCCGAGGAAGATCCCAGGTGTCGATGAATCTCCAGTCAAAAAACCGGAGGATAGCCAAGACGATGGATTCAAGGTTCCTATTGATATCGATCTCGACAGTCCCGTATCTAAGGGTCGGACCGGTTCGAAGAAGACTGGGAAAGGCCGCGATAGAAGCAATTCGGATTCTGGGTTCCAGATGCCACCCGGACCCAATGACCATGACGTTGCAGCACAGTTGTCTCAGGGCGCAGGGTTTAAAGAGCCACCCCCTCTACCAAGTAACAGTATCTCCAGCTCGTCTCTCACGTCCAGTAATCCAATGATCGATAACGACAATGACGACTTGCCGTCGTCTTCGCTAAGCTCGATTAGCTCCAGCTTCTCGATACCGGAGGACATAGCACCCTCTAGCAAGGAGAAGGCATCCGAACCTGCCACGAATCAGTCTCTCTGCCCCATGTGCAAAGAGCCAGTCGATCCGGCGCTTCTACAAGAGTTCCTGGCGCAGTCGGATCAACGCGTTCGGGAACAAGAACGCTTCTGCGAGAGACATAAGAAGAAAAGCGCCCAGAAGGAATGGATTGACAAGGGATATCCTACGATCGACTGGGATACATTCGATGAGCGGATTCGGCGTCACTTCCCCAGCCTCGAGAAGATCCTCGTCCCGGACTCTCATTCCTTTTATAGAAACATTCTTGATTCGACGATGAAAGCGGGCAAAGCAAAGAATTTTAGGTTGACGGTTAATGATGATCTGGAAAATTTGTCCTGTGGGTATTATGGATCGAAGGGTGCGAGTAGGATGTTAGTGTTGCCCGCCTCTCTTCTGTGGTCATGATTGCCCTTGCTGACCTTGGTCTCGTACTCTGCAGGTTGCAAGCCGTGACGACGGAATTCTCACGCAAGCTGCGGCAACTGGCAGCCTATGACAACGTCATTAAAACCGCCGGGGTGGCAGCTTATGCGCAGGCAGTACTTGTCCCCGAGTTGAGTGTGCTCCTGGTCAAGGAGGATATGAACGTAAGCGACGAAGAAGCTCGCCAGATTCTGCGAGAGAGCATGGACGTCGGCGAGAAACTGAACTCGGCTCCGAACGATGTGGTCCCTGTGCAGGACGACTTGACTGCCAGCAATTGATACAGCATATGGATTGATTCAGATGGTGTGAGTGAAGATGCTTGTATTCCCGCCTTAACTCTGTTGAGTATACAATATTTGGCATTTTTTTGCCTTCTATATATTATTATCGGTACGAGATGGATCTCCGATTGATGATACCTGAGATACCTCGAGACTCTTTTTCCTGTTTCGTTAAACTCCTAATTTGGCCACTACGGGATAGACAGGCCTGGAGTTTACTGAAGAGTATTTTGATTGTGTTAGAAAAGATAGTATTTATTGCCGAATGAAATATCTATTAGCAAAGTTGTCTTGGCGCGATTTGTCTCTTATCTCGGTGCTCTTCCCGATAACTCAAGACAAGAACCGATGCCGAGATACATAGAATAAACAGATACTTTCATTTAAAGGGGTAACAGAGGTGTCCGTTGCTTAATGGACGGTGAAATTGCCATAGTATTAATTAATCGTTGGACTCGTATCTCCTTAATTTTCAATCACTTCATCGCGAAGATGGTTGCAAGCGGCGGTCGGATCACGTCACCGACGCACCGCCCCTCTTTATCGCGAGCTATCTCCATTCTCCACTTCTTGAATAGTTAAATACCCCGTCCTGTCCAGCAGTCTTTCTTTCTGGAATGGGGCTTGCTTCATCCCTCTCCAGAAAGAATTTCTGATCACAATTGCCCCATCCGCCCTGTCCAGGATGAGGGAGAAAGATCGCTCCGCCATGCCTGTCTCCGAAACCACTCCGCTGCTGGCCGTCGTCCAGGTGGCGCCCCGGCGGCATCGCTATCCTCATCATGCTCTGCGCCGTGCCTGCACCTTCGCCCTGGGAGCTGTTCTCCTGGTAGCCGTCGTGCTCTTCCTGTCGCCGGTCGCTATCCTGCCCCGCGAACACGGCTCCCTGTGGTCGTATCTGCCCTGGGCCCATCCGTTCCCCCACAAATCCTGGCCCCATGGGGACGGCCTGTCGTACCACGAGCTGCAGTCCGTCTTGTACAACACCCCGACTCCGGAGAAGCTCCGCGAGTGGAGCGTGTACTACACCGCGGGGCCCCATCTCGCTGGGGGGAACTTCAGCCAGGCTGTCTGGACCCAGGAGAAATGGAAGGAGTTTGGCGTGGAGGACACCCGCATCGTCGCCTACGACGTCTATCTCAACTATCCGGTCGACCATCGCCTGGCTCTGCTGAAGAAGAGCGGCGACGACGACTTTGACGTTACCTTCGAGGCGACCCTGGAGGAAGACGTTCTGGAGGAGGATCGCACGAGCGGCCTGCCCAATCGCGTGCCCACCTTCCACGGCTATTCGGCCAGCGGCAACGTGACGGCGCAGTATGTCTACGCCAACTTCGGCAGCTACGAGGATTTCGAGGACCTGAGAAAGGCGAATGTCAGCGTCGAGGGCAAAATCGTCATCGTCAAGTACGGCGGCCTCTTCCGTGGCCTCAAGGTCAAGCGTGCGCAGGAGCTGGGTGCGGTCGGAGTCATCATCTACTCTGATCCCCAGGAGGATGGCGAGATTACGGAATTGAACGGATACAAAGCGTACCCGGAGGGTCCTGCGCGGAACCCGAGTGCTGTCCAGAGAGGAAGCGTTCAGTTTTTGAGTATGCTTTTCCTGAGCGACCTTGATTGATGCTTCTACTAATCATCCTCTCTCTAGGCATAAGTCCCGGTGACCCAACAACGCCAGGCTATGCATCCAAACCCAATGTTGAACGGCAGGATCCGCACGAACGGATTCCATCGATCCCTTCCATTCCCATCTCGTACAAGGAGGCGTTGCCCCTGCTGAAGGCCCTCAACGGACACGGCCCGAAAGCGTCAGACTTCAACAAATATTGGCAAGGCGGTGGGCTTGCGCAAAAGGGCGTTGAATACAACGTTGGGCCTTCTCCCGAGGATGTCGTGATCAACCTGTACAACCAGCAGAACTACGTGACGACCCCTCTGTGGAACGTGATCGGTGTGATCAAGGGGTCCATTCCCGATGAAGTCGTCATCCTGGGCAACCATCGCGACGCTTGGATCGCAGGGGGAGCAGGCGACCCCAACAGCGGCTCGGCAGCCCTCAACGAGGTGGTGCGCAGCTTTGGCGAGGCCCTCAAGGCGGGCTGGAAGCCTCTCCGCACGATCGTCTTTGCCAGCTGGGACGGCGAAGAGTATGGCCTGGTCGGATCGACCGAGTGGGTGGAAGATAATCTGCCCTGGCTCTCCAAGACCAACGTTGTCTACCTGAATGTCGATGGGGCCGCGACTGGGACGAGGTTCAGCGCCAGCGCCAGCCCCCTCTTGAACAAGGCCCTTTTCGAAGCGACTGGACTCGTCCAGTCCCCGAACCAGACGGTCGAGGGTCAGACAGTGCGCGATGTCTGGGGCGGCCACATCTCGACCTTGGGCAGCGGAAGCGACTACACGGCGTTCCAGGACTTTGCGGGCATCTCCAGTGTCTCTTTCGGATTCAGCAGCGGACCGGGAGACGCCGTGTACCATTACCACTCCAACTACGACAGTTTCGACTGGATGGACCGCTTCGGCGACCCGGGCTGGGTGTACCACCTGGCGACCACGCGGATCTTCTCGTTGTTGGCAGCGCATCTCGTCGAGACGCCGGTCCTGGCCCTGAACGCGACCGACTACGCCACCGGTCTGCAGTCGTACCTGGACCGGCTCAAGCCCCGGGCGGCCGCCAACGTCCCTGGCTTCAGCTTCTCCGGGCTGGAAGACGCCATCAGTACGTTCCGCACCGCCGCGGTCAGCTTCGACGCCTACGCCGCGGACCTGACGCGCCGTCTCGGCGAACACGTACCCTGGTACCACTGGTGGAAGAAAGTGCGGCTCTTCTTCGAGATCCGCGCCGTCAACGACAAGTACAAGCTCCTGGAGCGCAAGTTCCTGTACGAGGGCGGCCTGGACGGACGGTCCTGGTTCAAGCACGTCGTCTTCGCGCCGGGTCTGTGGACTGGCTACGCGGGCGCTACGTATCCCGGTCTGGTGGAAAGTTTTGATGCGGGTGATGTGGAGAATGCGGAGGTATGTGTCAACCATCATCATGAACCTTTTTCCTTTGATAGTCTAAGGATCGATCATATGCTAACTTTCTGTCTGTTCTTGCCACAGAGATGGGGCGCTATCATCGAAGAGCGGATCAGGAGCGCTGCTGCGGCGCTGAATTGATCAAGTCGCATGATCACGAGCATGAGCATGAGCATGACCGAAACGCTACCCTATATATATGGTATATCTGCCCAAGAAGAGGGTTTTTGATTATGATGATGCGATTTACAGTATCTAAGAACGTCAAAAGTCATCATGGTATATTTGTTTACACTTTTCTCTTCTCTTCTCTTCTCTTATATATCTGCATATACGCCATATACCATGCCACATACCATACATATACTTTATGCAGGAGTTCTTGATAATCAATCAATTGAATATGTCATATATCGTATATCCTACATTGTATGTATGGATCTATGTATGTGAATGAATCCAAGGATTCAACTAAATATCCAAGTTATTTGTTTATGAATATCGACTCAATCTGCGTTTGTTGCATACCTTCAATGCATGCATTAGTCATCAGAATTCATATGGAAAGCCCAGTCGGGAAATAAATGCATATATATTATATATGCATGTGAGTATAACTATACACAGGGTGACAGGCAGGTAGGCTTTTCGTTCAACATCAATGATCTCATGATGGCACACACACATATATACATGCACATGAAACACAAAAACAAGACAAATTAACTGCTGGCCAATGGCATGAAAAAAAAAAAGGATAATGTAGTGAAAGGCCCAGTGCAGACGCCTCACTATGCTGAAAATTTATCAATCATGAGCAATGATATCCTGAACGCCGGAAACCTTTTTCCCAACCCATCTTTTTGTTTCGTTCGGATTGCAAAGAACAGAATGCTAGAAATATGACTCGGTGAGAAGAAAGAAACCTGTCCCCAAAGGATCTAGGTATCTCGTTTTTTTTTTTTTGGAGGTCTTCGTTTCGCGCCTCTTTTCTCATCTTGTACAGTACCTCACATATCGTCTCGTCTCGCTGGATGTGTATATAAATCGTCGCTGTCTGTGTATCACAAAAACCATCGTCGTGGTAGTACTTTAGGAACTGCTATTCCTCGCTTCCTCTGGCTGCTCTTCCGTCTCTTCGTCACTATCGTCCTCCCGACCCGGAACGAACCCATCAGTCTCGATGATCCAGAAGGCCGGGAGGGCACTGAGAACGCCCAGTAAGGTGAGGATCCACCAGGGGATAATCACATATCCCCGCTTGACGCCGAAAGTGAATGCACTCCCGACGATAGCAGGGCCGACAGCCCGGCCAATGGCGCTGATACTCACGCCCACGCCGTTCAACGTGCCCAACACCCGCAGACTCGATGCGGTGTTGGTCAACAAAATGGTGCTGCATGGGAAACTGAAAATGACGCAGGCGAGCTTCGCCAGCATCAGAAGGAAGACAGTCACATGGCGGAAAAACTCTGGCACCAGGACGGTGAAGGGGGTCACAAAGTATAAGATCGGGTAGGCAATCACAACGACTCGGAAGGTATAGAGGACGCCATAGTACCGTGCGACCTTGGGGAAGACCAAGAACTGGATAAACATGCCGATTATACCGATCAGAGTATACAGGATGCCGATTGTTTGAGAATCTGAAATAGAAATAAGCACAAACACTCACTAAGCCGGAGATCCGAAGCACATACCGACGCCAAATCCGCTGGCAAATTTGAAAGGAAGCTTCACATCCGGATTCCCGTCGAGCTTCTGCTCGGGGTGGTGAAGGAACACCGGAAATAAAGAATCAAATGCCATACTGTGCAAAGCCATCATGCCATACGCCAGCAACACAAGGTTTGACTGCGGCGTGAAGACCTGCCTCAAACTGGGACGCTTCGCGGATTTCTTTTTCGATTTTGTCTTTCTTGCAGGAGTCGGGTTCGGGTTCCTCTCCACATCTGGTTCGTCACCATTCAGCAAGGCAGTAGTCTCGTCAGGGCCAGACTTGGCGAAGCGATCGTGTTTGCGTTTCCGCCCCGTGCAAGAACTCGTCAACATCCGGCCGAGCATCAGACCATAGTCGGGCTTATCTTTCCTCGTTTCCAAAGTTTCCTTGAACCTCGTAAGCTCTAATGTCTACAGCGTATGCCACTCAGTTAAAACCAGACGACCATCTCACCTCAAGAAACAAGATACCAGTCGTGATGCCAATCACGAACAACACAGCCGAGAGCATATTGGGAAGCGCAAAAGGATACTTGCGGAGGAACTCGGATCCACCGAAAATGTCGGGATGCTTGACAGCCGGATTTGCCAGGGCTCCTCCAAACGCAGGGCCAAAGATGCTCCCAATGGTCCAAACCAGAGGCATGAGACTGAACGCACGCGGTTGCAACTCCTTCTCGGGAACCATCTCCGCCACCATTGTTCGGATAATGCCCACGTTACCGTTCATCAGGCCCAGGAAGGCTCGGGCAGTGAGGAGCATCGGGAGAGACGTGGAGAAACCGAAGACGAGTGAAAAGATCATGGTGAATGTCAGACCCAACAAGATGGCCGGCTTTCGCCCGACGTAGTCCGAAAACGTGCCCCAGGGGACGCCCATGAGGCACTGGCAGCCGGCGACGGTGGCAGAGGTGATACCCACCCACCTGGCGACTTCATTCTTGGGGACTCCGACGAATTCCATCATCTCAGGCTGGTGACACCACGTCAGAAAGGCCATCTTCGAGAGAACCAAGGGCACATACCAGATACGGCAAAACCGATGTGAAGACCACTGAGACAAGAATATTTAGCAACCAATCCCACGACCACAAGCATATAGTAACGGAAACTGCTGTCAAATCTAAACCGAAGTCTTACCAGGTTCTGCGAATCGACATATTGCTGGGAGAAACGAGTCAATAAGCGCATGCGATATTGGAATCAATGCCTTGAGAAGACAATATGCTTACAGAGAATGGTGAGCTGCCGCACAGGCAGCGTGGGCTTCTTTCGCTGCATCGTATCGGTTTTTGGGTCTTCCTAGCAGCGAAAAAGCAACAAGAGAGAATGCTGCAGGCCCTGTCCGGGACGCATCTATATTCCCTGGCTTGAAGAGCGGTCCCTACTGAGGGAGCATGTCACGGACGGGGAGGAAACAGGGCAACAAAGGATGAAAGCATTGCAGACGTCAGAAGCGAACGTTTTACGCCGCGGTCGTCAGCGCGTAGGAGTGGGGTGTCAGGGAGAAACAGGCGGGTCAAGTGGCGGTGAAAGCTTCGTATTGTAACTACATTATTTTAGTCGGCGGGACTTCCGATCTCGACTTTGAACCAAAAAAGAAACAGATACCGTGAGTCATGTTGGTCCACGCTCACAGGATCAATACGGGGCCACGAAGGGTGTGGAGGCCGTCTTTCCTGCTTATGCAGGTGGCGATCTTCCCCATCCTGCCGCTGTCGGATGACTCTGGTCAGCTCCAAGTGGGATGACCGATTTGGGAAGTTATGACGGCATTCCCAATGCCTCCCAGCAAGAGGACTCGAAGCGAGGGCGCTGAGTGGCGGGTGCCTTGTAAGCTGTGCCTCGCCGTCATATCCGAACCCTTGGAAAAATCGCTATTGCTCCCGGAGGAAGCGCCGCCGCTGCCCTGTGCAGTGTGGCCCGCTGGTTCTTTGCCGGAGAAGACCCCGCAGCCAATGCCCCAGCCCATCGCCATTCGTCACGGACCATCACTAAGGACTGCTGAGGACTGCTAAGCAATACGGAGTCGGAACCTGCAGCCGGTGCGCCTTACAAATCAGACGACAGGAGCGCGCTTCGCACGGCCCGGTCGACGCGATTGCGGCGCCATCACGAGGTTCCCGTGCATTTGCAGTAGCGTCTAACCTGGTCAGCTCCAGGTGGGTTGTTAAGTTTGTGGAAATACCTGAAAAAAAAAAAGAAGAGCTACATACCTGGTTTAAATACTCCATAGTAGGAGATGGGGTTGCTGTTGCTCTCGCGATAGATGCTTGACAAGAGTCGAGAAGTAGAGGGAGGACGGTATATGCATTCATACCTAGCTACTCCGTTAGGTAGGTACTTAATGTAACAGGCTAATAATGAGCAAGGGATATCGCAGGGGTCCACTGGACAGACAATCATGCTACTTACAGTATTGCAATGAAGATGGCGTCAATAACAGCGAGGATATAGACAGAGCATTCTGAGCGATTTCAATCTCGACTGAGGGGTAAGCAAGGATGGACGATCATACGGATCGTTCCTTCCTGCTGTACGCAACAACCTCCTCTGGTCAGCTGAATACAGTCTGGAGCAATCAGGATTACAATCAATCAGGACAGGATGCAGTATACTTATCCATTTAGTGGGTAAATGATTTTTCAAAAAAAAAAGTCATTTTGCTCATGTTACTCCCCTGAAGACAGACTTCTTCCCATCACAGAGCACGGAGTACTGTACTGCATGTACTGTATGCATCCTGTCGTCATGCGGCCATCTCGAGACGACCTGCCCCGCAACCTGCAGGCCAAACACAGCAAGGATCGTTCCTCTTTCTTTCTCACTATCTACTCTTCTGCATATCTAATTTTCCGTGGAAAGAAAAAAAGAAAGAGTTACTCTTCCTAGAAAGAAAGAGGATACAGCTCTTTTGTTTGTACTGTACATACAGTACCTAGTGATCAGAAAGAAAGCTTCACTCGATTTTTTTTTCACGAATGTTCGCTTCCTATTAACCTAGAATCCTCTCGAGAGAGAGAGAGAGGAGGGACGAAACCAACCCCCCAAAAAACAACCACGAACAAAGCCTTATTATACAGCAATAGAAATTCATAGCTTGATATCATTATCATCATCGTGATCATCGTGATGATCATCCTTCACACCCGACTCGCTCTCTTGCTCCGATACGCCAATCCAAACACCACGAGGCCATACGTGGCCAGAATGCTCAAGCCCACGGGGACAGGCTTGCGCAGCTTGATGGCGCGCGGGATGGAGCTGCCGCCCAGCACGGTGGACGCCAGCAGGCCGAGCTCTTCGCCGTAGGGCTGGCCGTTGCGCAGCCGGAGCAGACTGAGCAGGTAGAGCGCGCCGACGGAGAGACCGGCGGCGATGGAGGGGACTGAGCCTGTGCGGGCGTAGCCGATGACGCCGCCGACGGAGGTCAGGAGGGAGAGGGCGCCGGCGGAAGCGGTGGTGAGTTCTGGGGAGGGCTATATATATAGATTGCGGTGGGAAAATGGTTAGCATGGGCTCTGCCTGCAGCTGGCTTCAATTGGGACTGATGGGCAAGACAGGATGCTGTCTGTCGGGATAGAGGGTGTGCACTGCACGGATTCATCACCAGAAGAAACACGGAAGACCTACCATGATGTAGAAGCGTCTGCTGGTCGATCTATACAGCAAGAATCAACGAATTGGGATGATGACAGGTAGCTGCCTCGCTTATGGAGAATCTGGTCTTCTGAAGGTTGGCTAGAATGACAGCATGAAGCTTAAGCTCTTATATAGGTGGGTAGCTCTTGGCTGGATTCCATGATGCCATTCAGAGCCGTCTGTTTTGTCAGCGGGCCCCCGCTTGTATCGGCCTCGGCACTTCCGAGTCCCGTGCATGCTGCATACTCCGTATTATATTGGACTAAAGCTACGAAATATCAGACTTTGAAAAAGGAAAGACATAAGATTACTATTATACAAGAACACTTCATTTTTTTCCCATGAACCCCATGCCTACCTTGGAATTATTCGTGTACTGTGAACTTATAGTTGGGGAAAAAGGGGAAAAATTGTAGATAGATAGATCGATCTATGGCGTCACAGTTCAATGCTGGGCATCTTGCCTCCCACCTGCACAAAGCGAAAAAAAAAAGAGAGAGAAAAAAAAGGGTCTTCTGGACAATACAACAATGAAGAAAATGTCGAACTGAAATCCCCACCCGATTTGAAAAAAAAACGAAAACCACAAGCCATCATCAGCCTCCTGCAGAAAACGTCGACGATCCCGACTCACCAGCAGCCCGTCATCGCCTAACCATGTTTTCTTTTCTTTGCAGTGGTGCGATCCTTGATCGAGGCACATCAAGGGTCCGGCAACACACACACACAAAGCAGTAATAACATGACGAGGACGAGGGTGACTGGTTCGTTTGGCAACGGGTCTGTCCATGCATGCGCCTGTTTCGCCAAACTACAGATAGATCAGGGAACAAAGTAGACTGGTTTTTGGTTTCATGTACAGTTACATTGCCAGATGATTGCGTCGAACTTAGCTTTGTTGCCCAAAGCCCGCCTTGTTTTGCGTCGTTCTGCGGACAATCGAAAAAAAAAAGTTCGCTTTCACGACGACGCCGCAATGAAAAGAAAACATTGGCAGAGAGCATCGTCGAGTTGCAAAGCAGGACCGACGCTTTTAACCAGCAGGATCCATCACGTCGTCGGAATTCGTAACGTTGCGCGAGACTGCAGCAGTAGTGCCTTCCGCAAGGACCGTTTCTCCTTTGCGATCAGGAACATATGCGTACCTTGGCAACCTGGCCATCTTCTCCTCCGGACTGATCTCGTTGTCGGAGTACACCAACCTCGTCTTGGCCTTGTCCTTTTCTTTTTTTCGCCTTCTTCTCTTCTGCTGCTTCCGCCTTCTGCGCGGAAGCTTGCGCGGCTGCATCATCGGCTGCTTTCGCTGCGCCCGATATCAAATCATCAACGGAGCTGGAAATGGGCGCAGCCGCTGCTTCGCTGGTTGCGGGAGCGCCTGCAGTAGGCGCATTTTGCTCGTGCGCACTAGGAGCGGTACCTGCAGTGGTAGCCGGCACTTGTCCCTGATGCATCTGCTGCATCTGCTGGGCGTTGACTTGCGGAGCACCGAATGTCGGGCGTTGCGGAAGGCCCGGTGCAGACGGTAAGCTCCCCTGCCTAGGCGGGTATGACGATACATTTTGCGGAGGGGTGTGAGTTCTTCCCGGCATCTGCTGCTGTTGTGCAAAAGGCATAGGCGGAGGCGTCGTTCCATACGGAACAGGCGCCTGTCCAGGGGCGTTGGCCTGAAATTGTGGATACTGTTGTTGCCCATTGGGTGAAAAATTCGGGTATACGGGGCTTGGGGTCTGCTGGTAGGGAGCATTGACATTGCCATAGGGTGGTGGGTAAGAATACTGTTGATTAGGAGCAGCGGCGTTGTTATAAGGCTGTTGACCACCGGGATACTGAGAAGGTTGTCCCTGGTGACCGAAATGTCAGCTTCTATCACTCAAAATATAAATACCAGAATCCCAAAAACTTACATATCCATTTGCGGGCTGCGCGCTTTGTCCAGCACTAACTGGTGTTGTGTCGCCGCTGCTTACCCCGGCGGCAGCAGCCTTCTCGGCCGCAATCTTGGCCCTATGCTCTGCTAATTTCTTCTTCAACTCGGAAATGTCGAGCTTGGGTCTCTTGCGTGGGGTACCACCGGCCGTGCCTGGTGGAGGATTTCCTGTCGCCGCACGACGCTCGGCCTCCGCCTGCTGGTACTGTGTCAGAACGCGCTGGTTGTGGGCTTGAATGATGTCTTCCGGAACGCCCTCCATCCCAAATATCTCAATGTCGAGACTGGCTCGATTTGGCAGCGCATTGTCTACGGCAGTCAGCTGCTCCTTGTGCACCTGACTCATGTGAACCGACAGTCCTGCAATAGATGACAAAAGTCAGTGAGAAACTGCTCCGAAGATGGAGAGAGAAGGACCATCCACTCCCAACTCACCTCCAGCAGTATTCAATCTTCTCCCACATCGCTCACATTTAAAGTGTTTCGCCTTCTGATGTGAGATGAGGATCTTCAAGTCATCGAAATCTCGTTCGCAGTAATAGCACCATGGTCGCGCGAGGAGTTCTTCCAAGGTGGTGTGATGGCGCTTCTTCTTCCCCATTGTGACAGGAGCCTAAGCGCTGAAATTTATTTTTTTCACCTAACCTCTGCTTATCACACAGAACTAGTAAAAAAACAGACTCCTAGGAGCAAAATGTAAAAACAGGTGTGGGAAACGAGGGCCAGCGATAAGCAATATCAAAACAGCACATGAAGTCTCATTGCCGTATTGCCGTATCGAGGTCGCGGCTGGCGATCAGGTCACGTGGCTCACCGCACAGACCATGACGTTATGACATGGTTGGATAAACCCAGACAGTTCACATCATTTACCATCAACGGCAAGTCTTGTTGCTCACTTAATATTATGCTTACATCAATTAAGACAAAAAAATTGCTTCAATTACTGAAAGCCATGTATATACATACAGGATACTCAAGCGGTAGAACACCTTGAACCACAAATTGCCTGAATAAAATCCTCGTTGATCACAACATACACAGTACAGTACAAATAAAGCCTCTCAAAACAACAAACGCCAGTTCATGCATGAAGAACAACAAACCAAATCATCCATCCCCATCAAATGCTCATCAAGGACCCATCGCCAGTTATGTAAGATATTGTTACAAACATACAGGAAGTGAGAAAAGTAGAACTGCTGTCATCAACAGAAAAAGCACGGCAGCCCCACTAGTTCCGCGTGTAAGAGCAGAACGAGGGCCATGCTATTGTACATGATGCAGATAATGACACGGATGGAAGAAACCCAAAGTCGTCGGCATCAATCGCAGGGAGATACAAGATCAAGAGCGAAACAACGTTCCGGAAGCCAGCATGAGGTTCACAAGAAACGGTTCATCCTGCATCGCCACCATCATCGTTATCATCACCATCACACAACGACTTTGCAGTTCGCCATCGGAGCAGTGCTTTCCACTCCGAGTCCATGTGCCGTCGCTCGGCTAGCTCATCGAAACGGAGGATCTGCAAGAGATAACTGGTCGTGACGTGTTGCAGCCGCGGTCTGTATAACCACGGAAAGCAACATCGTGGAAAGCTTTGTATTCGGCGGCAGGATCGCTATCAGGCGATCCCATAGTCGCTTGAAGGTTTCGTCGAATAGTCCAAATGACCTCTCAATCCGGTGGGTTTAGGATCGGCGCCATCTGTGTCACCCATGCTGCCGATGTCACATAGTATATAGTATAGAAACGCCCGCTGGGCGCCCAAAGTCGTCATATATTTCTCGATTCTGATGCTGATTTGCCGGCAGCATGGTGGAATTGACAGTGGTAATTAAGTAGTGCGACATCGAGGGCAACAGAGCCGGCCACTTAGTAGTTTGTCCCCCGCCCTTCTCCTGGCGCCGCTGCTTGTGGAATGTTTTTGACGGCAATGGGGATGGCGTGCGTGAGCTGAACCTCTTCAAGATCCAGCAGAAACCAACCCCTTTCTGATGGTGTTCTTTCGGACGCGTTGGTGCTGAGAGCCGTTATGGTGGGAAAAAACTTATTTGGGGTTTTGGAAACCCCTCCTCCTCCTCCTCCCCCTCCCTCTCCCTCCTCCAACTCTTCCTCCCCGGCTCCCCTCGCCCAGTCCACCGCCCGGCCCCCAGTCCCCTACGGGGTTCCGTCACCTTCTGTCACCACGGTAAGGAGGCATTGACGGTCCCCCGTAGGGGACGTAGTGATATCCACCATGGGGTGGATATCCCATTTGAGGGTGGGGGGCCAGTGGCGGTGGCTGTTGATTTGGCATGAGAGGGGGAGCCGGGTTTGGATAATGAGGCGCCATATGGGGTGGGTTGATAGGCCCATATGGCGGCACCCCGGCGGGTGCAAGAGTCGGAGGTGCGGGAGGATAAGCTGTCCCGTGGGCCGGGTTCGAAGTCGGGGCAGCAGCAGGCGCAGGGGGAGGAGGAGGAGGGGGCGGAGCCATAGGCCCCGTGGCCGGCTGAATAGGAGCCGGTTGGATAGCCGCTGGCCCCCCGGTCGAGTGTTCGACCTTTTCTTTCTTGGTCGGAGTCTTGGTGGCCGGGGGGCCAGCGGCCTTGCGCTTTCGGGAGCCTGGCTCCTTTGGAGGCTCGTTGGCCTTTCGTGCAGCCTCGGCGGCCCTGTCGGCCTCAATCTGGGCCTTGGTTCGCTTTGGGTTGCGAACCCGGCCCTCCCGGTTGAACCGGGCCCAGTGGTTGAGCATCGCCTCCGTCCGCCGTGGATTCTTGGAATTGGCAATCTTTTGGCGGCGTGCCAATTCCGCCGGATCCACGGTTTCGCCCGGTTGGAAGAGGGCGGGGACGGAGGCGGATGCGGAGGTTGAGGCCGACGAAGCCGCCGAGGTTGCAGGAGCAATTGTAGGAGCCGTTGTTGGTGCGGGAGCAATTGGCGTAGGGCCAGATGTCGGAGCAGGCGCTCCCGCAGACGTTGAAGGCGCGGGAGCGCCCTGCGCAGGGGCCGGAGCTGGGGCGCTGCTGGGACTAGGAGCAGTCGCTGCGGAAGAAGTAGCGACTGCCGCTGCGCGAGTTGTTGCAACTCGTGCAGAGGAACGGGCCGGGGGATTGTTGGAGGCACCGCGGCCTCGTCCACCGCGTCCACCACGCGCACCACGACCGGTTGTGGCGCCACGACGAGTTGCGGGAGCCGGACTGGGAGGCGCTGTATGTACCTGAGGAGTTTCACGGGTTGAAGCAGGTTTGCCACCACGGGATCGGGCGACGCGTTTGGAGGGCGGGCTCTCACCATCATCATCTTCTTCTTCTTCCTCTTCTTCTTCAGTTTCGACAGCAGGCGTATTCCTCTCGTTGGCTTCTTTGAGGAGGGCAGCAGCCTCCATCTGAGCGGCTTTGCGCCTGCGCGTGTTCTTCGCTTCGAATGGCGCAAGAGGAGGATTCTGGAAGCGGGGAACGAATTCAACTCCGAACTTGACAACGGGCTTCCAACCGTCGGGATTCAGGTCGTCCGGTGCTACGTTGGCACGCATCTTTCGCAGCTGGGCAGGGGTGGGCCTGAAGCCACCTTGGACAAAAGGATCTTGGATGCCGATCATTGATTCCCTCGGATCGTGCTTATAGCCATAGAGCATCGCCTCTTTCTTGTCTTCAAAAACTTCAGGGCGCTCGGTCTTCCGTGGGTTGGGAGTATTCTTCATCATGCGACGATTTGCTAGTTTGGAGAGTCGATCGATGGCACGCCACTCGTCCTGCCACGTCTTGAGAGCGTGAGCCGCATTGGCGGTCGCCGCGTACAGTTCTTCGTAAGACATAGCTTCGGGGTTCCTCAGCAGTTCCAGGTATTCCTCTACGGGTGTGATCTTCAAGAATTCGCCCTTCGCAACACTACCCTCTTGGTAGGGATTGGGACGATCGGGAATGTCAGAAGGATCGCTCTTTTTGCTGTATTTCGCTTCGCGATAGGTATAGTCCCAGATTTGCTCAAGGTTTGCAATCTCATCGTCGTAATCTTCGGTAAAGTTGCGCGCCTCGTGGATGTTCCAAAAAGCTTCGAGACGCTTCTCAACAGCGGTATGTGCTTTCTGGCGCGAGAGTTCACGGAGCTTTTGTTCCAGAGAAACCTCCTCGGCTTCATCGTCCAGGGGAGTCTCGACAGCATCGTCTCCGTTAGTATTACCACCTTCATCTTCGCCGTCAACCTCTGTAGTGGCAGCGGCGGTATCAACTTCAGCTTCGTCCACTTCGTCTTCTCCTTCGTTTGCATCATCGGCTTTATCTTCGCTGACAGCTTTGTCCTCGACCTCATCGCCGGCACCATCATACATGGAAAGCCGAGCGATACGAGGATGCACGGTAGCCATGTGTTCTTTGAGAGCATCATGCTGAGAGCTCAAATCATCTTCGGAAGTCTCGACGTACTTGCCACACCATGGACATTTGGTCTGGTGGACGGAGGGTGCTGGCGACAGCGACGCCTCAATTGAGTTAGTATGGTTGTGGACAGGCTCGGAATAGTGTCGGACGACGGGCGAATCCCGGCCATTGGCCCAGTCGGATGACTGGGTATCGCAATCAAAACTGTCCTCCATGGCGGGAGACATGTTGGATCTGGTGAAAGAAAATGTATTTTATCGGTTGTCAGGGATCAACCGATTTTGCGGACGAGAAAAGTGTAACCACACGTTCTGCTGGGTGTTGGAGATCTATACATCGGCCATGTTAGCCAGTTACCCTGATCGGATGCTCGCTTGCAGTGTGCCAAGACGCCAGTAGGAACCGCAGCTCAGCCAGAGCACAAGGAAGACAAAGAGCAGTGATGAAGCAACAACGTGAGAGAAGAAAGAATGAAAGGAAAAGAGAATTGTCCAATTCAGAAGGAGGATGTAGATCTGACAAAGTGTAGAAGCCGTGGTTTTGTGATGGGGTGATGACAGACAGCCTTAGGGGCGGCGCGCGTAGATTGGTCCCAATTGGACTAAAAAAAGACCAAAACGGACCCAACACACGAGATGATGCAACAGACATACCTTTCTTGCACAGTCAAAATAACAGAACGGAAAGACCCTCCAAGGCCAGCAAAGAAAAAATCTTTTGCTGGATCGTGTTGTTTCTGAGTCGTGAGCGCTCAGAGTAGTCGTGATGGGGGTCGATTTTCAGCGTTCGGAAACGGATGGAGTAGATGGTAGGATGATGCGTGAGGAGATAAAATTGGAGATAAGAATCCAAGGAGTACGGTGAGATGAAGAGTTTGAAGGTCGAAACTCGTATGAAACGAGTTCAGTAATGAATCAAAAGGATTATCGCAAAAGGCTTACGCCTGTCAGTGTGGAAGAGATAAAGAGTGATAACGACGGAGTAAAAAGTCGATGGGTAGAAAAGAGGATTAAACGCGATAAGAGCGATGGAGAGAAGGAGTCAGTAGAAGAAAAGATCGTACGAGACGAGAGGATGTTTTGATCGAATGAAGGGTAAAGAAGTTGGAAGGACGGTGAGAAGGGTTTGAAGAAGGTCAATGTATAGACAAGGTCCGAAGGCAATGGCACGTAGGTACAGTGACTAAAAAAGGCAGAGGCCAGTGGACTCCATTTCCTTGACGACCTCGTCTAGCGCTGGCTCAGTGACTGACAGAGTCTTTCATAGCCAAACAAAACGACGAGAGCAAGCATGTAGATTGTGTCTACGCGACAGGACTACAAATCTGCTTTGTCCCGGAGGGCAAAACGTCTTGATCGAGCCCGGAGCAGGGCGGGTCTCGGTAGCCACCGCTATGCCCTTTTCGGGGAAACTGGAATCGATGCAGCCAATGGGATTGCCCGCAGCCACGATAGTCCCGTCGCGCTTGGCATCCGCGATGATCCCAGGGGCGCTCTCGCCGGGAAGATCCAGCGTCCAGCACAAGACTAATTTAATTGTCTGATGGCTGGAGGGAAATAAAATCTGCAGGAAAAAAAATAAAAGAACAAAGAAACAGACAACTTGGCAGTGAATTCGCACGCTGCTCAGGTGGGGTGCTTCCCCACTGCTCGCTTGTATTCACTGCAGGCGCCGTAAAAAAATTAGCCCCTAGTGTGCTGACACTCTGCATCTGTTTTTTCTATTGGCCGACAGAGGGAGGACCCGATATTGTTGTCACTCAGCATGGAAGGCTCCGAGTGAAGTGTCGGTGCACTGCATCGATTGCTACATGTGAATCTGTCTTTCATATTGAATCGTCACAGTTGCTATTTTACGGATGATTCTGGGACTTGTGAGGAGTTACGTCAGCAGGCTTAGAACTGATACGGGAATTATCAGTCATGTGGCAGATTGTTTCGAGGTAGATAATCTTGTCCTTCCTGGGAGGTATGCTGCTAACCACGGGCTTCAAATTATTACAGCTCTTCCGGCATTTGTACGGACACGGCTGATATCTACATACTACAGTTATCGTCCCCACCGTGATACGGCTGCGTCTTGTTATCTGTTATCCACAATAAACTCCCGCGCTTATGCTACCACCTGCCCGCACAATCTTCAACCGTCCATCGCAAAGCCCATCCATACGATGACATTGCTGGTTCGATGAACCTAGACAGGAGATTCATCGATTCTTCTCTCCCACGTCCAATGCGACCAAGAAGCGACTGACGCAGTTGTAGGCGGCTACTGTGGCTGTGATTTCCACAATTTCTTTCTCTCCGAAACAATCCTTCAGTTCCTGGAATACCTCGTCGGGCACGGAGACGGTCTTGGTCATTGCATCGGCGTATCGGAGCACCGCTATCTGCTGGCGATTCAATACCTTGGTCACCTGATCTTCCACCCCAGTGAGCTGCGCATTCTCGATGATACGCATCCCCTCCTCGCTCATTCCCGCAGCTCTCAATATCGGTGCATGGGCGTCCCACTCAAACCATGCGCCGTTGATGGCGGCGACCCGACAGATGCCAATTTCGCGGATGTCTGCCGGGAGACTGGTTCTATTTCGGATTGCTCCCAGGAACGAATTCCATCCGTCTGCGACGGGAAAGGAGTGCAGAAGCGCGAGATCTAGCGGAATCAGGCCCCGTTCCCCCCGTCGAGCTTGGACTCGCGCAAGGATATCCGCTTCCTCGGGAGTGGAAGTCGGCGGGGGATTCGGCACATAGGGGATACGCATTTTGCTTCTGTTCGCGGGGCCGGGTTAAAGATGGATACGTAGAAGTCTGCTATTAATTGTGAGCTAACTGCCATTTCCATTATAGAGAGTTACTCAATTCTGGGTGGACTTACTCCAACTTCACCAGAGAGATCTGGATTCGGAGATGTATATCTTTATTGTGCTTTCGCAACCACCGAGTCTGTCGAGGGCGTCTCACGCAGGAGAAAACAACAACATAACGTCTCCACGGCTCCGGGCAGAACCATCCCTTTTATTTTCAGAGGCCCAAAACTCGTCTGGGGGACTGTGAGGAAATCCTCGAGTTTCCCCTCTTTTCTTTCCGCGTCCCGCAATCCATTTGCGCCAGGGTTCCGCCCGGGGCAATGCCGAATGGAGACCGTGGGGTTAAAGCCGAGCCTCCGATTGCCCTCTTTCGCGCAGGACGGCCCAAGTTCCACGCCGCTTGCTCACTAAAGCCGTTCCCCCGCCAAATCGACTCGCATAGTATTCCGATTCTACCCTCCTCGCTGCAAAGGCTCTAAAAAAAAAGGAAAAGAAAAAAAGGGAAAGAGTATCCGCTTGCAAGTGGTGGCTCAAAAAAAATTTTTTGGTGCCTCTTGAAGAGAATGCTCTCAGGAAATTGCTGGTACTAAGACCTCCTAGTCTAAATGGACGAGTATCTGTCTAACTCATTATTGAAGGCCTGAGATAGCCTCCGTAATTGTGTCAACGTAGATGTTCAGTCAAAGCGCGGTGATAATGTTTTAAGCCCTCTTCCTGAAAAGAAATTTCTATTGGATTAAGTTTCCCATCTGAATCGAGTGCTCTATCTTACACGGCTTGCCTTTCTCGACACATGGGTAGTGTCGAACAGTGTCAAGGAGGGCAAGTTCTAGTAATATATTTTACCCGGTAGGCGGATTATGACTCAGTGGGATTTCGATTACCCTTCTGAACATCGTCCTGCTTTTTCTTTCCAGAAGGAAGAATTAAAACTATAGTAGAATAATAGGAATTAGTAGCTCCAAGAAAAAGACAAAAAAATAATAAGCTATAGCTGTGGTGAAAGTAATTGCTGAATGCGTCCATGTTCCACCGTTGACCCGAAGCCCCTCCGGCATCGAGCTTCACACCATTTTGATTCGTTTTTGAGGAATTTTTCTTTTCCTTGCTTTACCTTTTTTTAAAAAAAATGAAAAATAGCAGAAGGCGAATTATATCCAGCAAAACATGAAAATTAAACAGTTTTTTAAATCAGAGGCGTAAATGACCATTGCCACTATTTTGTGGGGATCGTCGTCCAAGCCGCAGTCTGGAGTTTCTTGGCGCAGGTCATCAGCTCCTGAAGCTTCACCTCGTCGACCTAACCTCCGTCTCAACATACAGTACAAAGAACGCGTCCACTCTTTCGCAACTGGTTTTTTTTTCTGAAACAACCTTGCAGAATCTACTTCTGGAGGTCTGGGCCCAAACCATGCCTCCAAAAAGCACCAAACCCACCAACGATGAGCTTCTGGCTCAACTCGACAATCTGGGTGTCGATGACGATGTGACTCCATCGTCGGCTCAGCCCACGTCGAAGCCGGCCACTACTACTAGCACCAGCGCCTCCAAGTCAGAGCAGGATATCTTTGCTGAGCTCGATAATCTTGCATCTCAGCGACCGAGCACCCCTCGATTGTCGGCGGAGCATCGCTCGTCTATCAAATCGCCGAAGCCGCCGTCTGGCCGGACCAGTGAAGAGAAAACTGCAACTGTTCGCAAATTCGAGGAAGGCGGAACTGCGCCCACTCGCACGACTTCGAGAGATGCGTCGTCCTCTGAATCTGAGAAGACAAAGTCCGCAGAGAAGACGACGAAGAGCTCGGGCGGAGGTTGGTGGGGTGGTCTTCTATCCTCCGCCACCGCTACCGCCAGTGCAGCTGCCAGCGCAGCCATGAAACAGGCTGAAGCCGCTATGAAGGAATTGCAAAAGAACGAAGAGGCCCAGAAATGGGCGGAACAGGTCAGAGGAAATGTAGGAGCTCTTAGGGATCTTGGTACTTGTTCCCCCACCTCGACTACCTTTGGACCGATGGGATGTATGAATTTTGACTTGCAATGCTATTCCTAGGCGGCGAACTAAAAACCCTTGCTCTTCCAACATTTACTTCGCTCATCCATACGCTCGCCCCTCCCATCTCGTCTCATGAGCGCCTTCAAATTCACATCACTCACGATCTCTCTGGCTATCCCAGTCTCGACCCTCTGATCTACGAAGTCTTCTCTCGTGTCATGTCGCAAGTAGAGGGTGGTGATTTGCTTGTCATCCAGCGCGGTCAGGAATCAGCTCCCCGACGTGGCTCGGAGCTTGGATTCCAGTCATCCACTGCGGGTTGGCGCGATGGCCCGTGGTGGCGCACCGTGACCCCAGGTAACCCGCGTAGTATCAACGCTGTGAGAGGCGCTGTCGAGGCGACCAAGCTGGCCCGTGCCAGTGCAGAGGCCTATGCGTCGGAATACTACTCATCTCGGGGCGGTATTGAAGAGGCGGCGAAACAGGCCACTGCGGTACTGAGCGAGTCCAACCCCGTGCGGAGCAGCGATATTTTCTTGGCCATCCAAGCAATGAGCCAGACGAGCCCGAAGGACCTCTTTCAAGCCGGCCCATCGGCCGAGAAAGCGAGCGCTTCTGGCGGAGTCGTCGAGGTGGCTGATGATGAGGATAATGAAGAGGTCGCCTTTGCAATCTATCTGCACGACCCTGTCCACGGCATCGCGTTCCACACCGTGTCGCAGTCGATTCCGCAGAAATGGATCGACTGGCTCGACGCGCCGGCTCCGGCCGTTGACGATGCTGATGACGCTAAGAATGTTCCTCGCGTGACGGTGCCGGAGGCCATTGCGGAGATCATTGAAAGTGGCGGCGTCGACCCCCGTGAATGGGTAGCGGAATGGCTCGAGGAGGCGTTATCTCTTTCTGTTGGAGTTGTGGCGCAAAGATACGTCGCCCGCCGGATGGGCGTCGGTGAGGGCGGAGTCGGGAAGGGGAAAATGAAGGCGGAAAAGGCAACGACGGTCGACAGCGGAGCGGGAGAAGCTGCCCGGGCGCTGTAGGAGCTTTCCT